AATTACAAGAAGTGTTGTTACGCAATATTAGATAATAACAAACGTGTGCATTAACATTCAGGCTTCTACCAGCAATGAGTCCAAGTTTAATTTTTGTTTTTTTACAATACATTTCGAAAAAAGTTATTGACTTGGACGATCCTTCCTTTTTTTTTAAATTTAAAAATGCAGACATTAAAACTGTTACATAACATTCCCTAAAGAATTAAGACGTTAGATTGGAGCTTTAAAATGTCTAAAAAATTTTCCTGTCTATTTTTGAGTCTACTAACTCTACTGTTTTGTTTAATTTTTTAATTTTAAGATTTTTTACAGTTCTTTCTTTGATCCTGTTTTTCTTTTGAATCTGAACATAAAATGCAAAGTAACTTTTCTTAACTTTTAGTTATAGCAAAGAGTATGTTTTTTCTGAATAAGCAAGCTTTCCTCTTTTAAACGAGAGCTAATTTGCTTAAATGTATTGAGTTAAACTAAAGTATTTCGATCAGTCAGACATCTACCTTCCCCTCATCACTTATTCGTTCCCCTACAATTAAGTGATGAGAGAAGATGTAGAATGTTTCAGGGATTACAGTCGTATTATTTTATAAATTTATAATAAAACATTGGTTAAACCCCACAAATGTTCCACCATAGCTATAACGCCCCCTATTTCAAGTATTTTCTTTTGGTTGCTTTTATTATAAAATTTTACACCGTGCAATAGTAAAACAATTTCAAAAATCTTAAATAAAAAAAGTTCAATATCAATCAAGGCTTATGACCGTAAGGAAACGATTTTTTTTTATGTTCCTTAACTCCGATACAATTTTCTTTGGTCATATTTTTTACTGATGTAAAAATAACAAAATTTGTGGATATGCGCTCAAAAATTTACTCTTTCCTTTGCATGGACCAGCTGAACATAAAATAAATACTACATATAGGGCTATTATCTTGATTCGGGTTTAAAGGCCGTCGTCGGTTGGAATTACTTCCTAACGTTTCGCTAGCACGAGTGGCGAGCTTCTTCAGAGGTCCTTCCATCTCCGATGTTGGACGTAGACTGATGATTTCTCCTGCGCAGGTTGTATTTATGCCGATTGGTGGTGGGCGGGGCTTGTTCCGCTTCGGTTGGTCTCGGGATATCGATCGGTACTGCTCGGGCGTTCCTAAGGATCGGGTTCCAGATTTGGTTGAGTCTAAGGGTCTCCTCCTTTCTGTTGAAATTGTGTGGGTGTTTTTGTATCTCAATGGCTTCCCTGACTAGTCTGTTGTGATAGCCGTTGACCGATGCTAGTAACTTACAGCTCTCAAAGTGTATCCTGGGTTCCCCGCTGCCCAGTGCGTGTTCAGCTACTGCAGACTTCTCTGTCTGTCCTAGCCTGCAGCTTGCTTTATGCTCCTTAAGTCTCGTTCCCATTGATCTCTTGGTAGTTCCGATGTAGACCTTTCCGCATGAACACGGAATTCGGTAGACTCCTGCAGCTGAAAGTGAGTCCCTCGTGTCCTTCGCTGACCTGATGGTCTGCTGGATTTTCTTTGTAGGCTTAAAGATTGTTTTGATGTCGTGTCTTTTCAATACTCTACCAATCCTGTCGGTGACACTCGGAATGTACGGCAGATATGCGTGAGAGGTGGAGGGTCGTTGTTCGATATCCCGTGATCTTGATGATCTTGAGTTCATTGATCTCTCGATCTCCCTCTTGCTGTAGCCATTTGCCTCGAACGCAGTTTTCAGGTGTTCAAGTTCCCTCTGGAGGTTCTCCGGTTCGCAAATCCTTCGGGCTCGTTCTGTCAGGGTTCTGATAACCCCATACTTTTGACTTGTATGGGTTGGTTTTCTGTAAACTGTGCGGCCCAGCTTGTTACCTCGCTTCCTCACAGTGAGGTTATCAGCACCGTTATAAATAAATAATAAAAAATAAATAAACATATTTTTCATCCAACCCCACTTTCAGGTCGAATTTTTCGGACTTTCCACTGTGAGATTGGCCACCTGATATCGAAATGCACTTTGTATGCATATTTTGCATTGCTTAAATAATAAAAGGTTTGGCCATATGTAACGAATATTATGGAGAACACTATAGAAGGACATATCTAGATCATAATTATAAAAAAATGACTAGTTTTTACACATTTTATTTATGTTTTAATAGGCAACAATTAGTCAGACATATACGAAAGAGTTATGGCTATGCATATTCTGCTGCTTTCAAATATAATATAATTCCATGTATAATTCCATGTTTTCTTATAAATAATTATGATTGGCTGGAGTAGCTTACGAGAGGTCTCTCAGTTATCAATAAATTTTTTTTAGAGTATAAAAACTTCTAGTTTATATGTTATGAGAGACGATGTAAACCGACACAAACAGAACTATGCTACGAATAATCGACCATTTTCTTTGTCTAATTTGTCTATTTACGAATTGACGAGTGAGCGTCGAGTTGGTGTTCATTAATAATGTAAATGATCATTCGCTTTCGAGTGATCATTAAAAACCAAACGCACCCAATAATTAAGAACAGAAGGAATGAATACAAACATATTTAGTTTTGTACATTTTTTATAAATATCGAGCGTAAAAGCGACTACTAAACGTCTAGGTCATTAAATCGAATTGACATAGTTATCACTGGCAACAATAGTATCAATTTATTGATTGATAGAACATCTCGCTGCGGAAAAACACTCTTCTCGTTCACCTGACGTTGTTCACAGTAAGCACGTGTAGAATAGGTATCATGGCCGTTTTTATTAATTAAATTCATGATCTGTAGCTGGTAAAATGGTTCGGCTAATGAATTCTGATCTCTCCGTGCATCCAGAATATGAAGACAGGTAACATTTGTGAACGTTAACAATCTTTTTTTACACAGTGTTTCGATCTCGATATTATGCAACAAGTTTAACACAAGGCACTTTAGCCACGAGTTTGTTTTGGCACCAGCGCAGCTCAGCGAAGCATGTGTTTAATAAAAGTGTTATAATCAGGAGAGCGCTAAGAAAATCAAAAACAGCTTTTTGCGTAAATCCATCCTGGAACGTTTAATGCTATTATAATATAAGTATTGTCTGTCTAGTTCGTAAAAGTTTTATTATTGTATAGTGAAGTTGAGTGTCAAAATTGACAAACATCAAAATATCATGGCTAAATTCTACCGAAATATCCGATATCCGATCACACTAAAACCCGTGACTAAAATACCGGAAACGTCTAAAGTGGATGACGAAGCTGACCTCTTAGATTGAGTAGCGAGTAAAAGAACAACTACATCCAATAATTTACGCTAATAATTAAATTTGCTGATGGAATGTAAGAGAGTGGCTATAAATCACTCAAATTGAAGCAAGTTTCAGTTACACAGAAATAAAATAAAAAAATAATATAAATAATAAATTAATGAAAATAATAAAAAAAATTTGCAGCATATTACAACTATTTATTTTCTCAAATATTTTGTATTTCCGCAACTAAGATGCTATATGCTCTCCATAAGAAAAAATAATACAAAGTGCGCTAATAATGTAGAATTTATTATAAATTTTAAAATGGGTCGGAAATTTCGTGTTACGAAATTTGGAACCAAAATAATATCATTGTACCTCAATATAAGGCAACTTCAATTATTATGACTTTTATTATGGCTTCTGATATCCCAATCATCAATACTAGTGGACCATGAAAACTGAAAAAATTGGATTTTTTTGTCTTGCTCATTTATATAAATAGAGTAACGGGATGTGTTACTTTAAACCTATCCATATTATTTAATAACCAAATATTAACTAACCAAAACTAACCAAATAATATTTTCTATAAGTTTTTTTTTGGTAGAATAAAATACGGTTTTACCAGATCAAAACAATATTTTACCATTTTAAACAATATTTTTTAATTAATATGAAAGTATGAAATTAGAAATAATTAAAATTTACCGCAACTTGTTCAAAGAAGAGTAACTATTGAAATGATTTCACAAAGTATCCGTTAATAAATGATTTAACCCAAAAAAAAAGTAAAACAACTTCTTATTATACTTAAAGAAAAGAAGAATAACCATTACTATCCGTCTTCCTCTAAATAACATAATAAATTGCCCTTTCTTACGTTTCTACCTTCAACAAAGGTTTTCAATAGTTACATTACTCCGTAAGCCTTCCGATTGCCAAATCTCGTGCTCAAAATGCCAAGTACCAGTCATTTACACAAAACGTGGTTATCAACAAATCATGTATCGTCCGCGGTCATGTAAGTTTTCAGGTAATATGCAAATGTCATGTAAACGTGACTTATGACGTAAATGTCCTTTGAAATTAATATGTTAATACGAACGAATAAAAAATATATTTGGACTTTACTACAAGACACATCGCGTGGAAATGATTAAGGAAATAAGTTTGCGTCGGACCTCCTATTTAGGCTGTTAGAAAAAGAGTGTCAAGGATATCGCGCACGTTAAATAGTTATCAATTCTTTTTTTTGTGATATGTTTAATTTAACAAGATGATTTGCTTGAGACACAAGAATGGCCTTGGAAAAATTCTGGGACCGAGTGAAAAGTAAATAGCTAAACGTTCGTAATATCCACTCAACAGACTCTCTAACAAAAACGTGTAACGTTTTCTTTTACCATTTCTAACCCACACTTTACGGACACAAAGAGATTAAGCATACATTTCTCTATGGTCGCTTAATAGAAAAACATATTCCAGTCAAATAAACAGTGTTCTTTTCATTCGCTTGGTTTCGTATAGTTAAATCGAATCCTACGTTTAATTTTTCTCAATAGATTAGTTACAAACGGTGTATTTAATTGCCATATTTAAAAACGTCGTAAATCATAAAATGATTAAAAATATTTATTACTTAAAAATCTAAACAAGCAGCTGCCAGAAGAAAAAAATTATGTATTTTTTTGTTGTGATCATAGGTATAATTTTATGACTTGCTAAAATATCGAAAAATTATTTGCCTTTATCATTGTTAAAAGCGCTTTTGTTTGTTTCAGTGAAAACCACGTAATGGGGGAACGGGTGGAATCGACAATGCCTGGTCCGGACTTGGTTGGGGTAAACGTGGAAAGGCCATCCCTTATGAATCAGCAATCCGCGTTATGGAACAAAAGGCAACAGGCCGTTTGTGTACGGCACGCTTTCAAGCACTACGGGTCCAAAAAGAACCCCAATCACGTACTCAGCGATTTAAATATGACAGTGGGCAAAGGTACCATGTAAGTGCACTAGATTCGACTGAAGATCAGTGAAGACTCGTTTTTTATATCTGCTGACCATAAGTGTTCTATTATTTTGCATTCCAACAGTGTAACTTCTCATAAAATGTTTAGACAGTATGTATTCATATATCTATAAAAAAAAAGTTTCCGACGTTCTATCATACTCTCATTAACAATTTTTTTTTATATTAATAGTCTAAATTCTATACATATGTATCACCATATCAAAGATATTATCTGTATTATATCTTTTATGTATAGGTTTGCTATAATTTTCATAACAAGTTTCAAACAATCAGAGTTAAAAATAAATGTAGACTACCAAATAAACTTAATTTTCTTGTATAATAGGTAATTTGAATATTACGCTTCAAATTCAAATTCAATATGCCTTCGCTTTATAACTCCCCCTCATATCACTGTTCACTGTTTGCACTTGGAAATTTACTATAGTATTGCCGAAAATCGTACTGATTTTGCTTAACAAGTTATTATTAATGTCTAATTCCCTCTGAATTTTAAACATCATGATCATAGCAATTATAAACCCCTCACGGACATTTCAGAAACTCCAAAAATAATTCCCAGCATTTTCTCCCACTTTAATAGTCTTACTTAAGTTTCCATCAAACAATATTTTCATTCTTTTCTGTTACCATTGCGCAAGATACGAAGCGTGTTCGAAAAATGTTCGATTTTGCTCCGTATCCACGTGGGCTACAAAAACTTTGTTGGTTAATGAAAAAAGCTTTAACATTCCATTTCGCTTCGCAAAAGTATCAAAAATTGAAGGCTCTGTGGATACAAAGAACCAACTGGATGAAACTAGAGTCGTTAATAGTTAATAATAACTTCTTTTGACTCTTTGCGAGTTTGAAGGAAAGTTCCTTCAGATCGAAAATACATTTTTATTTCCTGATAAAGCGGTTGCACTTCGCGACATCTTTTTTCTTTGTTTTTCAAAAGGATATTGTTTAAGCTCAATTGTTGTTAAATCCAATGGTAATTCAGTTAATCGGTAAGGGACTATATTCGATGAAATAACTCATGCCGTAATCGAAAAAATACGACAACAAGAAATGTAACAAGCAAGGTACTTTAAAACAGGTATTCAACATACAATAATTACGAAGAAAAATCGATAAAATAATGAATTGTTAATTTAAACGTGTCGCAATGATTGCGCAAGATGTAAAAAGAGATCCTCAAAGTCCATTAAACGTTACATAATCTATACTTTCTCTGTTTTAGATATGGCTTGTTGGGTGCTTCGGGCTGCGGCAAAACAACACTCCTGTCTTGCATAGTCGGAAGAAGGAGGTTAAACACGGGTTAGTGGATATCTTTTGTCATCAACATATTCGAAACTACAATTCTGCCTGCCGCCCTTTTTGGAATGCATTTTAAATAATGACAATACGCATTGCTAAGAATTATTTATTCTAAAAACTTCAAATTTGGGTTAAAAATAACTCTGGCATATCTTGCCCAATCTTGACGAAATTATTTGCGTAACGCTTATCATATTAAGTTCATAGCGTAAAAAACTAAAACTTTAAACCGAGTACTTTAAATTGTCTCGTTTATCAAAATAAACTATATTGGAACAAGCCCAAATAATCTCAAACACGAAATATTTATGCACCTTGGTAAAAGAACTGTAATATTATTTATTTGGAACGAGACCAGATATTTGTTGTCAGCTATAAAGAAATTGTTTTATTCATATTTCCTAAATCCTGCTATGGTTTAAATCTAATACGCCCTTAATAGGAATTTCGATTGACGGATCCCATCTCATTGATAAACATATATACAGTTTTATATGTAAATATGCACCTTAAATAATGGCATTAATATATTCTAATATTTGGAAAAAAACATGCATACGCGTTGCGAACAGAAAGTGAAATCATTTTAATCTTAGAATGTTCATTACTGATATGAGTGAAATTGAAATAATATACTTTCAAATTATTTACCAGGCAGGGCTTTTTGAAAAATGTAACCAGAAGTATGACCAAACCGCCTCTTGCGATAACTTTTCGATACTTGAATTTAACAAATCGCCATTGTCTTAAAGTCTTGATTAACATCCAGGTGAAATATGGGTATTGGGTGGCAAACCAGGCACAAGGGGATCTGGGGTACCAGGCAAACGGGTTGGATACATGCCCCAAGAAATAGCTCTATACGGCGAATTCACGATCAAAGAAACTATGCTCTACTTCGGGTGGATTTTCGGCATGAAAACCAACGAAATCAAAGAACGACTTCAGTTTCTATTAAACTTTCTTGATCTACCTAGTCAGAATCGCTTAGTAAAAAATTTAAGGTAACAAACTTATTCAGCTTTAACGTAGAATAACGTTTTCAACTGTGGCCTCGCCTCTGTTCCAGCGGTGGCCAGCAGAGAAGGGTATCCTTTGCGGTGGCTTTGATGCACGATCCCGAGCTGCTCATCCTCGACGAGCCCACTGTCGGTGTTGATCCTTTGTTAAGGCAAAGCATTTGGAATCACCTGGTGCAAATTACGAAAGATGGAAACAAAACGGTGATCATTACTACGCATTATATCGAAGAAGCTAGACAGGCACATACAGTAAGTTAATTTTTCAAAGGAACTTCCACCGGCTACTATGATACTTTTTATTAAACTCCTGAATTCCTGCTGCGTCGGTTTTTGTTGAGTCGAGCTAACTAACCTCTCGCCAGTCATCCTGTTGACTTCTTTAGAATTTGACTGAAACTAGCTCGCATTTTACTCTGTACCGGCTTTTATATTTTTTGAGGGGGGTGGAGCTAAATGAAGTCTCGGATGACTGATTTCCCTATTGGTGACAGGTAGAGACCTCAGTCGCGGTTAAAATTGTTACATTACTTATAGATTTCTATAGACTCACGGATTTTTAGTTGATAGAAGAATTGATTACATGCATTATCGAATAAAATTTTATGTCCGGTTTCGTGATTGTGTTCCGCAACTGCTGATGAGTTTATTTATCTTAGCCTTAAGGTTCTTTCATGTTCTTTGAGCCTAGTTGATATTTTTCGTCCGGTCTCTCCAATATATTCTTTGCCGCATATGCATGGAATGCTGTAAACTCCTGGCATCTCAAATGGAATTTTGTCTTTGACGGATCGAAGATTTTTGGACAAGTGGTAAATCTGGTTTTGACGTTATATTTCTTTAGAACTTTTGATATGTGGTCAGTGATGTTTTAAATATAAGGAAGGATAAGAGTGGCAAGTGTGGGATTGATTTCGGTTTCATTGCTATTGGAAGGTAAAATGTATTTTGTGATGGATCGCTTAGATCTTTAATGTGGAAATTATTAGAGAGAAGAGCGGAGGTAAGGTGTTTTAATTCTGGGTTCAGTGAGATAGTTTCACGGCTCTGTAAGCAAGAGAGTTGATAACCGATTATTTTTGGGCCGGATGGTGATGTGACAATGTATTAGGGTATAGGTCTGTGTGCGTAGGTTTTCTGAAAAACACAATGACCAATGTTGGGTCTGATTTCCTTTTGATAAGAATAGGAGGTTGTTATTAGTTTCTATCTATCTATCTATCTATCACATTAAGCGTCCCATCACAAAATACACTTCACCACAACCTTCCAATAGCAATCAAACCGAAAGCAATACCACACTTGCCACTGTTGTCCTTTCTTATATTCAAAACATTACTGACCAAATATCAAAAGTTCTAAAGAAATATAACGGCAAAACCAGATTTACCACTTGTCCAAAAATCTTCGATCCATGCATACACGGCAAAGAATATATTGGAGAGAGCCGATGAAAAATATCAACTAGGCTCAAACAACATGAAAGAGTCTTAATCTAATACAAATAAACTCTTCAGCAGTTACCAAAGACAATCACGAAACCGGACATAAAATTTTATTCGCTAAAACTAAAATTCTTGCATATAATCAATTCTTCTACCAACGAAAAATCCGAGAGTCTATAGAAATCTATAATCAACATAACAATATTAACTGCGACTCGTTTCTACCTGTCCCCAATATGAGAATCAGTCATCCGAAATTTTGTTTATGCCCCTAATTTAGCTCCTACCCTCTCAAACACTATAAAAGCAAGTACAGAGGAAAATGCGAGCCAGTTTCAGTCAAGCTCTGAAGAAGCCAACAGGATGATTGGCGAAACGTTAGCTAGTTCGACTCAACAAAAACTGATGCAGGAGGAATCCAGAAGTTTTATAAAAAAAAATAAATACCGTAAGTTCTTTAACAATTTAAAATCGACAATATTAATAAAATAAAATAGTTGTAAGCTAAACGAGAAAATGTTGCAGATTGGCTTGATGAGAAGTGGTAAACTGTTGGCGGAGGAAGCGCCCAGTGCGCTGCTATCGATGTACTGCTGTACGTCTCTAGAGGAAGTGTTCTTGAAACTGTCCAGAAAACAGGGTCAAATAGGGGGTGGAGGTGGCGGCGGCGGCGGCGGCGTTGGTCAAACGGACATGAATATCAGCAACAATATAAGCTTGGCAACGTTGAACTGGGGCAAAAAAGATTCAATTTCAGTCACTGAAGAGAGTGGAGTGGTCGGGTTGAATTTCCATCAGAGCAAAGAAGTGCTGGTGCACGATTCTAACGGGCATCTTGATGTAAGAAATTACCGTTAATGAATTAATTCGATATTAATTAGCAAAAAATCTCTACCAAAAATGTTATTAAAAACGTCTATTTTATACTATATCACAAGCTCTACCAATATAAGTGGCGTATTTGTTTGTTTTTGTAAAATGTTTAATCTTAGAGAACACAGCCAAATAAATTTTAGCGGAACACCTTACCTTATTTTACGCTCTACAAAAAATATATTAATTTGTATTTTTAGTACATACAATGCAAATACAAAACATTGTGCAATTTGCAGCCTATGTTAACTTTTGTTGTTGTTAGTCCATTAAAGAAAACTAGTTTGTTAAAATTTTATATAGTAATAGTTCAATATACTGAAAATACTGATATGAATATGATAAGTGGAAAAGAGAAAAATCGTGAAGGAAGTGATATATCGTGATACACGCAAGTAAAAATCCTCAAAAACATTCTCAGTCATATATTTATGATTTGATCTTAAAATGGTGACATAATCGAGAGAAGCTTTAGTCTGCTCTGACAATTTGACTCCATATTAGCATATACTATAAAAGTTGTAGTTCTGGAAATCAATTGAAATTATTTTTTTAAATATTAAACTAAAAACGGGTGGATAGTGGTTCCCTGTGTTTAAATTTTGTAAAAGTTTTATACAGATAACGACAAATCTTACCGCAGCCTAGGTTAAACGTCAAGTGTAACAAAATTACACCGAGATTTTAAAGGAACGAAGCGATATGGAAAATGTTATGCTATTGCCTCAGCCCCTCGAGACAGTTGCTTCACTACTTAGTATTAGTACCTCGCAAAGCGAAAATCTTTGATAAATATGACAACAGCGGATCATTTCTCGTCCCTCTTTTTGATTCCAATAATCTCAACATATGTTTCTTCCAGTGGAGATTTAACCTAGAGCGCGATCTTTTTTTTTTTAAATGACTACTATTCTATGCAAAAGTCTACATAATGTGCGCAATATCTCTGGTTTCGCCAAAAAGCAGTCTAATCTTGTGGAATTTTTAATTACATCTACTTGGTCAACTTGGTCACTATACGCGCAGATTCAGAAAGCTGTCTTATCCGAATTGTATTTGCTTTTTTCAGTTCTCAAGCAAAACAGCGTCCGCCAAAAACGGCATCCAAGAGGCGTGCGCAGATTGCGGCAACTGTTCGGAATGGACGACGACCGGGAAAATTAGGGCGCTTCTCCAAAAAAATTTTCTTCGAATGTGGAGGAACGTGGGAGTGATGCTTTTCATATTCGCCTTGCCAGTCATGCAAGTTATTCTGTTTTGTTTGGCCATCGGCGGTGACCCAAAGGGATTAAAATTGGCTATAGTTAACCACGAAGTTGGCTACGAAAATATGACGTATCAAGATTGTCCGTACGAACAGGGCTGTAAATTTTCGAATTTAAGTTGCCGCTATTTAAACACTGTGAATACTAGTACTATAACGAAAGTGTATTATCCGGATCCGGAATCGGCAAGATTGGCGGTGAGCAAGGGCGACGCGTGGGGTGCGATGTACTTCACAGAGAACTTCACGGATGCATTGGTCGCTAGAATGGCGTTGGGGAAGGACAGCGATGAGGAAACGTTGGACCAGAGCGAGATAAGGGTGTGGCTAGACATGTCAAGTATGATCGAATTGTTAATAAACAATATTAAAATGATGAATGTACCGGATAATCGGTTAGATTTTACTCAACAGGTCTGCTAATTTTTCAAAGAAACTTCCACAGTAATACTTTTTATAAAACTTATGGATTTCTCCTGCGTCGGTTTTTGTGGAGTGGAACTAGCCAATCATCCTGTTGGCTTCTTCAGAGTTTGACTGAAACTAGCTCGACTAAGACAAATAAACTCATCGGCAGTTGCCTAACACAATCACGAAACCGGACATAGAATTTTATTCGATAAAACTAAAATTCCTGCATAAAATCAATTCTTCTCCCATCGCAAAATCCGCTCTCTCAAACAATGTGAAAGCAGGTACAGAGTAAAATACGAGCCAGTTTCACTCAAGCTCTGAAGAAGCCAACAGTATGATTGGCGAAACGTTAGCTAGTTCGACTCAACAAAAACCGACGCAGGGGGAATCCAGAAGTTTGATAAGAAGGTCCACTAATATTGGTCACCTCATATTATTTTTGGGTGTCCGAAATCCAAAAAAAAATATGAAATTAAAAGATCTGACCTAATTTCGTTATTTATATAAAGGATAATTGGTGTAATAATAAAATCCGATTTAAAAAATATAATAAGCCTTTAACAGATATTCGTTACTCGCTGGCTCAAAATCGTTTAAACCGCTTAAAATTTTAATCTGGCAATAAGATGGAGCTCTAGCTCACACAGTTTAAAAATGTATGGGCTGATACAAACGAAATCAAATATTGAAGGTGATGAAATCGAAATAAAGGTCGAAGATAATTTATACATCCAAATAGAACCATCGAAAATTGGGCAATTTCTACAAATTTTGGTTAGTAAGTAAATAACACAAGCCACAAGTGCCTGAGAAGCCGCACTACTATACTACTTACATTCTGATTGTCTTTTGTTATCGGCACCATATAGCATTTTTAAACCTGAAATAGTATCCACAACACACATTTAAAAATGAAAAATATCACCTTAGTTGGCCTTGTCTTCACTGTAAATGTTTGACAAATCATTTCGTTTGTGAATAACTGAAATGTAATACTTAGAAAACAAAGAGAAAACGTAATATGAAAATTCTGAAAGCTTTCCAAAATTTTAAGCAATTTCAAAATTTCAATTGGCCTGAATTTAATGATCTCCTATAGTTTCAGTTTCTGGGATCTAATGTTGGGGTCGAATTGCAATTAATAATTGTTTTATTTGTTGTATTAAGATTGCTGCTTACTTTTGTAATTACATTATTTAAAAGTAGTCAAAATCAAAAAAATGTGTCCATTTATTTGATAATTATATATATATATATATATATATATATATATATATATATATATATATATGATGACACTATATTCCGGGATATCATCCGTTCGCTCGTTGAACTCCGACTGGAATCCTGCATCCGACTGGAATCCTGCAAATCTTGCATCCGACTGGAATCCTGCAGACGTTTCGCCAAAATCTCACTTGGCATCTTCAATGCTCGCGCTCCGAAAACACTTCGAACACTCAAGAATATATATATATATATATATATATATATATATATATATATATATATATATATATATATATATATATATATATATATATATATATATATATATATATATATATATATAATCTGATACTAGGAGAATCATATCTACTGGTCACTATCCTTTAGAGTTTTCAAGTAACGTATTTTGCTACCAAATTAAATCTGGTTTATTTTCAACTTCTTAACTCGAAAAATGTATGTTTTGGGTTTCGGCTTTAGCTCGCAATGCATCGCAAAATGATGAAATAACTGGTAGTTGATATATTTAGAACATAGAGCCGCATTTATTTGGTGTTGTTTAAAAAAGTTAGTACAACGCTTACGCGAAAGCAAACCCAAAGGTAATAAAAAATGGGTGTAAAAACATTGGTTAGTTGATTGAGAATAATATGGGATTTAGGAAAATATGTAATTGTATACCAATATTTACGAAAAAATATAGCCTTTTAAACGGACCCTGTATATTCTGATTCTGAGAGAGATATTAAGTTCTGACTAGGCAGTTTCATAAAGAGCAGATTATTTTTTGATAAGTTATTTTAATACAAAGATATCTGCAACGTTTTTAAATATGAAAAACACAAATGGCTGGGAAATGATGCTGGTCACCTTTTGTTCCCTTCAGTCTGATTTATGGTATTTTAATAATTATTTTGCCTCGTTATTTGTTTAGAATTATTGATAATTTAATGTAATTGGGGCTTTGTAAAGATATGCATATCAACAGTTTTTCAGCAAATTTGTCGTTTTGTAGGGTTGTTGGTGGTTCAAAGGAACAATTTATACTATTTTTGGCTCTACTTTGAAATGTTAAACTTTTCCAAATATGCTATTATGATTGTTTTGAAATCAACTGCGATTACTAACGCAAACTGCCACTTCAAATCTTAAACAATCCAGCCAAATTAAGTTATTTGTGTTATTTATCGTTAGACTGTAAAAATTCACGACTTTTTTTATAATCAATGGGAAACATGCGAAAGTTTTTCCTTTCCAGATCAACAAATCGGCATAATATTGCAACGAGATCTCCAGTTGACGTTTCAGAACTTCACTAAGGACATATTTAGGGACTGCGATCAAAACGAAGCTCTCGCAGACATACCGATATCGTTCAAAGCTCCAATATATGGATCGAATCAGCCTTCCTTTACCGACTTTGTCGCTCCCGGTGTTATTTTAACGTGAGTGTTCATTTTCCGTTAGAAAATTGCTTAAATGGAAAACGAATAAAAACTTAGCACAACAGATTCAAGTCGAAATGGTTAGATTAAGCGGTTAAGTTTTCTTTTCTGGAATTTGACACGTTTCGATAATGTATAAAACTTCCTACCTCGAAATGCTATTGAGGCACGATAGTGTTCTCGTTGATTTCGAGTATTTCTCGAAAGTCAAACTTATTTGTTCCATTATACGGTCATAAAATCCTTCGTTCCGAATAAACGAAATGGAAGTCACGAAGCGGAAACTTTCATGACTTCGACCCTGCTACTTGTTAGACTTTATTAGTGGCGTAAATCAAATCACCTGGCAAACTGAAAACCTACGCTGGAGTAGTAGATTATGCAACCAGTTGTGAAAAAAATATATGATTCAATAGTCTGCCAAAGTACCGTATCTCCCTTATTTGTCACCATTTGGAAAAACATTTAAAAAATATTCAACATGAAAATTTATTTTTCAAAAGGAACCCCCATATATTTTTTGCAATTACGTAAAGGGATGATTATATGACCCTGTGATTATTTTTTAATGTTAATGAAACATTGCCAACTTATATTAAAAAGCACTATTTTCTATGGTTTCATATACCTTTCAAATATCTATAATATGAAAAATGCACCTAGTCTTAATGCGTTAGTCAGAGTCTACTAAATCGTCCAATTACTTATTTCACACACAGGGTTTTCCAAGGCTTTGTCAAAATAATTTTGCTCCGTATTCTGTATCAAATAGTGTTCAGCTACTAAGCTATTATTAATCTCTCTATCAAACTTTTCCGAAATGTTGTTTAATAAAATCGTTTACATTCTGTTTGGAAAAACTTTGTTATGGCCAGTTTTAATTAATATTTGCACCACTCCTCGTTTCTTATAAATTCATTCGGCCTAGGATGAACTAGTTTGGTCTGAAATCTGGTATGATCGGTAACCTATATAGCTATATATAGCACGTATAGAATCTCTAAAAGGAAAAGGTCAATTGATACTGAACAAATACTTCATTTTCCATGTACCGACCTTAGCTGCTTCTAGTACAGCTGGAAATACCGAAAATTTAGAATATTTTCACTACACACTTAGATAAAACATTTTTTTTGGCATTATTAAAATTGCTCTTTAATTTTTCTTGTTATAAAATGGTTCTTTGGAGAAGCACAATTTTCTGTTTGCAATTATTGTCCAGATTTTGTCCTTACAATAAAAGAGTATGCTACTTACAAAGTATTGTAGACTCAAATATTATTATAAAATGGAAACTCCGTCATGGCAGCATTGATGAGGTCCTAGCAATTCGCCCCTGTCGTACCCTTCTGGTAGTAGCCAGGAACGTAGCCGTCCCGCTAAGTACGATAAATTTAAATTAATAGACAAAAATAAGTTTTAAATTTTTCATTCTGTAAATTAGCCCGGAACCACAATTTATTTACGTGATTTTAGAATCTTTCTTTGAATTCTATATAATACCCAATAATTCTAAACTTTGCGCGTAACATATAAATGAAGAAGGTTATCGTTTGCAGGATTGTATTCTTTTTGGCGGTGGCTTTGACATCTTCGGCACTGATCATAGAAAGGATGGAAGGTCTCCTAGATCGGTCCTGGGTGGCAGGCAAGTACAACGCTTATTTTTTTAGTCCGTCTGTTTAATATAGGTAACTAATTTAAATAATTTTCTAGGTGTTACTCCCGGAGAAATTTTGTTTTCTCACGTTGTTACCCAATTCGTTGTTATGTGTGGACAAACCACTCTGGTGCTTATATTCATGATTTTGGTATTTGAAGTCGAATGCAGGGGAGATATCATTATCGTCGTGTTCCTAACCATTCTGCAAGGTCTGTGCGGCATGTGCTTCGGATTCGTCATATCAGCAATTTGCGAACTAGAAAGAAATGCAATCCAACTGGCACTGGGTAGTTTTTATCCGACACTACTTTTGAGCGGTGTTATTTGGCCCATTGAGGGAATGCCGACCATTTTGAGGTACATTTCGACATTTTTACCTCTAACATTAGCTACGACGTCGCTTAGAGCTATGATGACAAGAGGATGGAGTCTCGTCGAACCAGACGTGTACTACGGTTTTATAGCCACGATGGTGTGGATAGTACTGTTCCTTTCGATCAGTTTAGCTGTGTTGAAATTTAAGAGAGGTTGAGACTCCTCGATGCTGTAGTTTTAAATTTTTTGTACATTCCGATTTTCCCGAATATGTGTTAAAATTCTTTGAAAATTTCTGGTACTGTAAAACAATAGGTAAAAAGAATCATCATGTGGTTGTGTAGTAAGTTATTATTTATGAGTCCCTTGCCTTTTTACATATAGGACGCTGTGTAAGTGAAACTTAATCTAAAACCCTTCATCGCTATTTTTCTCATTTTTCTTGATGAAATTTTTCGTCATTACCTTTCTCACCTTAATTATATATTAGATGTAATGATTTTAAGGAGGATTAAATCGTTGCCAAAACCATTATACAATTACAAAAAATCAATAGCCGTTCATTTTAGCAAAGCTTGTAGTTTTTACTGCTTAATGTTAATAAGCTTTCGAGAAAAACATATACATATATTATATCTTTTCCTTTAATACTAAAGCATTGAATAAGTATGAGGAGAGACAGGAAGACAGGCATAGAGTGTTATGAATCGGATAAGTTTTCAGCAGGTGGAAGATACCCAGAAAAAAAATGTAAAATATATTCGTAAGACAATGTGCTCAAATGTTAATTTTATACTGTTATTAGTTGTGGTTTGTGATGTACGTTTGTTATGAATAAAAATATAAGTACAGTTGTTTTCCCAATTTTTTCTTAACATCCAAAAATGTTTTTATTAAGTTATAGCCTCTTAAAATTGAAAATTGTGTTTGAACACAGGGACGAAACACATAAGATTTTGTGCCTTTAATACAGCTACCGTTAACTTGGGCCACTGTTACGCAAAAATAATATAAACAGGAAATAAAAAATAGTATGGACTTTCGATGGAACCATTGCACATGGCGGACGTTGCTCCTGCTCAGTTCCAAAAAATCTGTAGAAATCGGTTGAAATTAGGGTAGTTTAAAGAAAATTTTGTTTTGAACGTTTGTTATCTGGAGTAATAGAAGCATAGCGCCTCAAATTTTGAAAAATAGTGTTTGTTTTACGCGGATGTACACGGATTTGTGATGTGCTACTCCATGATGTATATGTTAACACGTTTTTCGGATGTCTTGTACTCACTCTTGCAACCAGGCCGGATGGGGTCGGATATCCCGTATAAGATAATTGGTCCAGACCCTTCTTTAAGGAAGGCATTCTTCAGGATTTTTGTATATATTTCACTTATCGTAAGCTTGCCGAGTGACCTATTGCAGTCGTGGCCATTAGAAGTAAAATCCAATCCAAAAAAGAGTAAAATCACAACAACGTAAAATAAGATAAATTAACCGAATCGTTTTGTTGTTTGGGTTTATTAACAAGGCCGTTTTTATTTCAGGCTTTAAAATAAAATAAAAAGATTTAGCAAAAACATTTTCTATGCCGTCTAGGTGTATTTCTTTTTTATTATTTACATATTAAATCTTTTTATCTTCAAAGAAAATGCGCTGCATCACCTAAACCTAAATTTAATATACAAAAGGATATTGACAAGCAAAATACCACTTTTAGCTAGTACAAAAAAGATAGTATTTATTTATACTGTTTTATTTAATAAAGACTAAAGACTAAAGACTAAAAGGGATAGAATCCGTCGACGCGGGAAGCGTCTCCACTTAAAGAACAGTTTTGTGATATTTTCATGTATCGATCGGCCGGACTTGTACTACGTACACATTTTGTCTGCTAAAATGTAAACAGTAGACAAGAAATTTGATGACCAGTTTTTCGATGATCAAAAGATAAAATTAGATAAAATTGTTTGTAAAAAGCAACTTACGAAAAGTATCTTGGTTCGATGTTAACCTATACGCGGATATTCGGTCGGAGAGTTGGAAATTCGCTTTGGGGTTCGTAGGCACTCATAAATATGCACATTTGAAGATACGAATGCGAATTTGCAGGATTCATGAGATGATTCTTAAAAAATTTTGGTGCGACATTCTGACGATGTGTGTTTAAGTTTCAAAGCATAATTGGGGCACCTTTTCGTGCATAATTTCAATAAAATAGCATTCCGGAATCAGGTTACAATCAAACCCAAGCATTTATTTAAAGATAGCCCTTTTAAATATATCATTAAATATCCTCTCAAAACTCGTATTGGATATTTTGTATATTTATGTACTAGAGAGCGAGCAAATATTTTTTTTTACTGCCTAGTTATTGTTAGGTGTCTTTGTTAAGGAAAATTTCATGTCATTCCTAAATTGGAAGTTGGAAGTAAACATTGCACATGTCTGGCTTCCGCTTCTGCTTCCATACACTCTCAGTAAATATATTAGTTAGGTTTAGTGTTTGAGATGTTGAGAGCCATTTTGACAAAATTTTAGTGAATTGTTGTACGTTTATTGTGGATGCTGACTGATTTCTCGAACTTGTTTATCGCATATTGATATTCCTATTTACACAGACACAGACTGGATGGCATCGCATATCCATAACGGGCATTCAGAAACGAACAGCGAGAGAGTCTGTCCGGTGGATATTGTATGACAGAGCACCAGGGACATACTTTTAAAGTTTTTTAAATCTGAATTGCCCCTGTCTTGTCTTGTCTTCAACTATCAATAAATTATTGCTTGTTGGGTTTTGCGGGAGGGTCCGTCAAAAACCAAGACTTTGATACTATACAATACATATAATAGTTCTATATTATACAATAGTTCTTCGTGATCCACAAAATTTTCAGATATATAACAGAATATAATACGCACTATTTTTACACACAACGTGTTTACTGCTTTGTCGGAATCTTTTTAATGGGAACAGGGTTTGCCCTGAAGTCGTAGTAAAAAAAGCAAATCTGTAGAATGGTTTATTAAGACCGACCAAATATCGTTACACCAAAAACTGAATATACTAACATGGGACACCAGCTAAATTTTCCGCATGGACACACCTTTTACACAAACGTCGGATCCGTTTTCCAGTTAGACAAATAGTTATTGTCAGCGACTAGCGATAAAAGCACTGGGTAAAAATAAAATTCCCATATATATCTTCTTAACTTTATTGAGTCGCGTTTTAGTCATTGAAGCACTATCTGCTTGTCTCACTCCAGAGCGTGCTTTTTGTTTTTTAATGACATTAACGACATTAGAGGCCCACAGGATAAAGGCGCTTCGAGCAAAAGTCACTATCTATCATGTTTCTCTGTTTATTGAATAATTGAAAGATTGTTTGGATATAATAAACTATCAAATTTAAATAGATTAATGTAAGAGCGGTAATTATTAAATAAAAATTTAAGATTTGTAATCAAACCCGAGAATTTACTTTTGATTTACTTTGGTTTCAATTAAGTTTGTTCAGCAAAATTATTCAAATTAGAAGGAAACTAAAATAAAACAAGCAGAATAGCAACAATTCCCATTTTAATGGAAACTTCATTCACTTGAAGACATAGATGGACGTTAAATTGCTATCCGAGTTTTTCGAGTGATATTAGTTGAATTTATCATTATTATATTGTTTAAAGTTATTCATGGTTTTCATTTTTTTATTCGACACTGACCTTGCGGCACCCGATCAATTTTTAAGCGGAATGCAGTGTTTCCAAACTAATTAATTTAGCTTATCCTGAAACGTTATAAATGATTGGCTTTCAGCGCTTCTCCTGGCCCTTTTTGCGTACACACAAATAATTTACATCAAATAGGTAAATCGCTTAACTAGCTGAAAAATATTCGGCAGCGATCGCCTTGTTGAGATGTTTCGTGGAATCCGAATGACCCCCGTCACTTAAGCTCCTGTCTAACTTTCTTTGATTTTTCAAAATACTGTTTACAAAACCGTAACGACTAAGAATGCCAAAACTTTTGGTGGAACCTGCCGCCATGATCGGTTCTTTTAAAATAGTCGCTCTTGTCTCCTCGAATAACCTACGTGAACTAAAGTCGACGTTTTTGCCGCCTTTGAAATTCACGTATTTGTCGCTCATTTCAAACACATTCGGGGCGTCGTAATAAGCGTCGCCGCTTCTCTCGCATTCCGTCGTCAAATGTACGAACACTGGAGATCTACCATGAATAGCGGTATTCACAGCGGTCAAAGAATCGTTAGAACTGCTACAGTTTCCCGAGTCTTCGGTGATGTTCCAGATTTTTTCAGGAGCTTGGGCCGCGTTGGTGTTGACATCAAATTGTGGCTCGACAGGTATTTTGTTTCGATAACAAAACTTCGCACTTGAATTCCTCGGTCTGCACTGACTAAAATTCGTATCCGATGGGTATCTGGGACGAAATTGATCGCAGTACGTTTGTTCCAATTTAAACAGCCTGCAGAAGAAATTCTTCAGCGCCGCTCGAAAGTCTCTGAGATTATACGCGTATAGCAAGGGATTACAAGCCGAGTTTACGTGAGATAAAATTATACACGCCAACATAAAAGTCGAGTTGACTTTAAAGTCCTTGTGAAACGCTATAATACAGTTTATCGTGTAGAGTGGTATCCAACATATCATAAAAAACAGCACAATGACGGCCAAATTCTGAGTCGCTTTCACCTCGTTGGTTTGATGGACACCCAGCATTCGCACCATGCCGCCAGAGGATAAACCCTTCGACGCGGAACCGCATTCAGGATTCATCACCACAATTTGGCGCAACTGAAATACAAAAATAAACCCTTAAACATAAATAAATATGCGTGTGTAGGATGTGAAGAGATAAAAGAAGAGCCAAAAATAATGTCAAAAGTTTATCTGAATATAAACTGTAGCACAGTCGGGGCTGTTTTCGGAGGCACACGTCTACAAAATTAAAAAAGATATTTGGACAGAAATTATTCGCGGTGGATGGCGGGTGAGACATTTATGGAACGATTGAAAGATAAAAAATTGTCCTGAAAATTTAATGGTATACATAAGCGATAATGATGTGGTTATTTTTGTATATTTATTATTTGTAAACGACTTAGATTATCAACCTTAAGTTTAACTTGTTATCTACTTTAATTTTAGGACGATTATTTCGATGTGTAAACAGCGAGCCTTTTTGTCTTGTTTTAGCAGTACAATTAATTCTTTATGCCGTTTTGTACAATATAGACATATCCCTACTATGTTATAAATGTATTTATTTGTAGAGAAGAATTCCTGACTTGTAGCAATTTTTTTGAAAAAGACCAGACATTAACAACGATTGTGTTTTAAGAAGTAATAATACCAATTTATAATACCAGTTATTTGTTAAACTGTTATACAAAGCAGCATTGATTATAAACTATTCTAGGGATTTCACGTTGGCTCGTTGGCAGATCAAGTTCTATTAATCTACCGCTTCGTTTATTTTGATTTTGCTGTTTTCACAGATTTTGGATAAGGTAATTCGAAAGAGGTACAATTAATGCTTGAATATTTAGTTCTAATATAATAATAATTAGATAAATAGATAATTAGATAAATAGATAATTGGATTCAGGATGGAAGGGAGTTGTGAAGTATTAAAATTTAATAATATTTAAATATGGAAATTGTGAATAGTTTGCTAAAATGTATCTTTGAAGCTGATGCCCGGACGGTTATATACCGAATTATTTCCGTTTTTGTAAATTTGAAGTGATATAGCACAAGTAGTAAACAACTTTTTTGAAAAAGATCAGACATTGACAACGATTGTGTTTTAAGAAGTAATAATACCAATTTATAATACCAGTTATTTGTGTCGAATACTAGGGTGAAACCTCACCTCTGGAAACTTGGATTTTACTGCCTTTTATGAAATAAAAAATAGTAAAGATAGTTCATCCGTTCTTAAATCACCAAAAATATCAAAGCCGTTATATTTTGTCAGCTTCTATTTAATAAAGAATTGAAATTTTGATCACTGTTCCTATTCAAGGGTCGATTTTCAACCGATTACTTTTAATTTTAGACGCAATAATACACATAGATCAAAAAAATACCCATTCTTTGATGTACTGTTATATTAAAAATCGTATTCAATATTCACAAAACATATTTTTTATTGAAGCCGAAAGATAACAAACCAACAAACAACCAAACAAACAAAATCTATTGACTATTGACTAAGACAAGACTCTTTTTACGCGTTAAAATAATAATGAATATTACATATGTACTCGAGAATCTAATTATTTAAGTAAAGCCTTAAGTTTTAGAAAGTATGGTTTAATGTTTCTGGTTAATCGTCTATCTAACCAGATACTAACTCGTCTTTTCCACAATTTCTTTGGTGAGCATGTATATCGATACATACATACATACACTTAACAATTGCGATCCGTTTTACGAACATTATTTAATCTATCGCGAATAGGATTGATTATATTTTAGCACATGTCAAGTAATGGAATATAAATATTCAAGACGTTGTGTCTTTTTTATTACTCCGTACATTGGATGTAGAGATTATAGTAACGCAGGACGACCACTGAAACGGTTGAAACATCTACTGAACAATAGATTTTTGTGGAGTAGGATGTAGTTTTCTTTCTTCCATTTCAAACAATTGCACTGTGCACTATTCTTGGCATATAAATTATTAAAGTACTTAATAACATAAAAATCCAATATCTAAATCAAAAATCATTTCAATAATAAACTTAAGATACCCGTACGTTCACGTATTTCAATAAGATTGTCAAATAAATGCAAATGCTATTTAGAAAGCTATATATCATGCCTTAAAATATGTTACCTGTTTTAATACGACGGTGTAAATATGAGCATAAAAAGCCACCAGGAGGCAAGCCGGAGTGATTATGGTGCCGAAGTACAGAAATACCAAGTAATTGTAGTCCATCACGTGCAGAAAAAAACAGCTCACCGGAGTAACACGATCCTGGCGCCAACCCATGAGAGGCAAAAGGCCGACAAGTACACCGGCAACCCAGCAACAACTTATTATCACTGAAAACAGAAGAAAAAATTCTAAATAAACTAAAACTAGGATTTATATAATAATGGTTTCGAGTAGAAGGTTATAGATCAACGTTGAATAAGTACAGCTTGGTTTAGCTTCTTTAACTTCATTAATTTCTCTAATTAAATTGATCATGTTTGGGAGTCAATTTATAAATCACAACACCTTTCTAATTGTGAGCTTTTTCAAATTTACTAACGATGAAAATTAAGAAGAAATAGTATAGGACAAATTAAGAATAATAAAAGATATGGAAATAGAGAAGGAAATTGCTGAAAAAGCTAGCAGGTATTTGGACAGGCTAAAAGGAAATCTAGATAGCCGGTAAGTTTAAAATACTGATGAAACAATGATGATATTTTGATGTCTGTCAGTTGTCTTGGATCTGCAAGACAGTTAATGCATTCATACCGTTTTTGAAAAATGTAGCCAAAAACGAGTTGTAATAGTACAAGTACAGTATTTTCAGTTTATTAAAATTCATTTCGCTGCGCACGCCTGGCTCGTGCCTAAACAAAGTCGTGACCAAAAGGTTATCTATAAAACGGGTATAATACTATTTACAAATCTTCTGGATTCCTCCTGTGTCGATTGTTGATGAATGGAACTTACTGATGTTTCGCCAATCATCCTGTTGGCTTCTTCAGAGCTTAACTGCAACAGTTTTACGTCAGCAAGTCCGATTCCTCAACAACACCGATCAGAAAAAATTCTTTGAAAAAAAAAACTTGTTGCATGATATATAATAAACTGATGTCCACCTTATAAAGCGTAAAGTATTGTGGACAAAATACTAGACTTTATTCCATTATAGTTACTTTTCAAAATTGCTTTTATATTATTCAGATTTTTCTAAAGTGATTATTAAAGTTTTCTTTAAAACTAGTCTTTTTTTCTGCTCGTGCTTCCCTATACAGTGTGTTAAATTAAATAATAATCAAAACAAAATATATTTTTTAAATGACCCTGTGTACATTTTAATTCCATTTAAAGTTGTTGTGACGTCAAATAGCGGGCGAAGATATAATCGAAAAATTTAATTCCAAGTAATAGTTCAATGAAATATGTTTGGAGGTTTCCAAAAAAGAATAAAAAAAAAATAAAAAATCATCCGCACTCCCTAAAATATTTAAAATTGGACACCCAATGTAGCACCATTTTGTGCACATCGTTATAGCGGCAACTAAATTAGTTAAATGGTGCAGCTCATGAGAGCAAATTGAAATAGGTTTATCGACACTGCGGCAGGCCGAAATGACTTTAATTTTCTGCCACAACGTTTTCGCGGGCGTACAAAAGACTTCCACTCGAACGAGAAAAGTCTTAAAAAGAATGATGAAATTAATTTGAAAAGTTCCACCTATTACATGTGTTGTATCTGTTAATGTTTTATATTCAAAGCTCTAAAATAATAAAATACTAAATATTCAAAAACTAACGAGATGTGGCAAAAATAAATTACATGTGACACCATCATAGAAATTTTGATATTCTTCAATTTCGAGGCATACTGGAAATCATGATCACGATCGAAACGTTGGTGCGATATGGGCTGCTGTACTAATGTAACTGATAAATTTTTTAAATTGGGTGAAAGATATTTCGGACGACTACATTAGTTTATCCCTAGACCGGTCTATTTAATAGGGTTTGTTTAGTTTTGGTTTGTTTTAATCCCTAGTAACTGGAGCTTTCTACTACTCTATACGACATAAAACATTATCTTACTGGATTGCTGAGCGCTTGCAGAAGTCAGAAGTTTGTAACAGAACCACATATTTCATTTAAAAAATTAAATTAAATTAATTAATTATGGAGCTTAAATTAAAGGAATGATTTCTTGATTAATTATGACCACAGAGCGATTATGTTTTACAGTTTGCAGATAGTTGTATGTGTTCATATTTGTAGAATTGCAAAAAACTTATGAAAAAATGATGTTGCAATTTTCCCATTTAAGTACACATGCATCGACTCTTTCAAGTTCAAGTATTTCCAGAACGGCTTCCCACATGTTTATAGCAAGTACACTATTTTTTAAGGTAAAAACAATAGAGAATTTTTTGACTGACATACGAAAACGTAAAAGAAAGTTATTACTGCATACAGAGTAAATAGACTCCTACATGTCTCGGCCAAGATAATTAAACTCATATTTGATATGTACAAAAATCCTAAAATAATACTTTGCGTCCAACTATCAATATTACTTCAAAATATTTAGAGAAAACAAAATTAAAAATTTAACACATCATATCTTAAAAAGGAATGGATTGCGAACCACGTTTATATGACCTTTGTGCTTTCAAATTACCCAAGGAATCGGAATATAGGATAATAAATAAATAACGCATTGTTTATGCAAATATATCAACGGTTGTGATGTGTTGGTCAATACACAGATAAATCGATTTGGCACGATCTTAACCACAGGAACAAAATATTATACTAAACCTAACTTTATTTATGAAAAAATAAAAAGTAATTTTCTGATTAAAATCTCTCCTAATAAATCAACGGCGGTTTGTGACTTTAACAAACTACTTCGCCTTTTTAATAATGCATATTTCATTTTTATCTGAACACCGTCTATACATCGTTTTATCGTTTTATTATTTCTTTTATCGCAAAAAACCGCAGGTTGATTAATATTCTAAAAATACACTCGAATAGAAACTACATTTTCACGGGCTTGCTAAAAAGCGACAATTATAAAGGACTAGATTGGAAGACGGTACTAATTTATTTATTCCGAAATACAGCAAGGGTAATTTAAGCAGTAGACTTAAACATACTTAAACACGCGAGAAACTTGTTGTGGAAATTTCAGAATGACTTTAGAATGACTACTCTAGACTCTTCATGAGTGGCAAAAAGTAAGACCAAAAAGATATCTGATATCTGATGCCTGTCGTACTTCCGATTTTTCATTTCCTACTAGACCTTGGTGTGTCCATTATTGCCCCTTATTGCTTTTGCCTTCGGGTCGGATCTACTCTCGCATCGTATGACCACCCCGAAGGGTTTGTCAAATTCGATCATGATTCACTGTCGGCAGCTGTCTTAAATGACAGCCAATACTAATAAAAGAAGTCTCGCTCCCTCCCATCTATTTAATTACATGACATACGAATTGCTTCTATTTATTCTGTATTCTGCGAAAATACCTTAAATTTCAGTTATACCGTTACATTGATTGAGTGATGAATTGAAACTTACGCGTTTTGCGTCGCCGAATCCGAATTCCAAATGTACTTTCTGAATGGTCCCTATGAAATGAAAACCGAAAAAAGTCGTTGAGTTCCTGAATGAAAATAAAAGTTTGAACTTGTGAAAATGTGAAACTACGATTTATATCGTATATTTTAGAAAGCCAAATGACAAGTGCCTAATATTTGTGCGACATTTCAAATTAATTGTCTATTTAAGGAATAGGGAAACAAATTTGCTGTGATAAAAATGCGCGAAATAGTACACGTTCAAATTGGACAAGCCGGAAACAATATCGGAAATAAGGTAGTGCTTCGCTATTTCATATCACTTAGGGATAATTTAATTGAATTTTAATGACGCTATGCCAGTTCTGGGAAGTGATATCGGACGAACATGGGGTCGATCCCGCTGGAAATTGGCACGGAGACACAGACCTCCAACTCGAAAGGATTAATGTATATTACAAAGAAGTAACCGGGGGAAAATTTGTACCAAGAGCTGTGCTAGTTGACCTGGAAGGTAGCACTATGGATAACGTTAGGTATGGACCTTTTGGACGGTAAATGTCAGAAACTTTTTTGTATTATTGCGTAAATTTACATCAGCTTCGGATAGATGTATTTTCTTTGAGAAGCAAAATATTTTATTTTTTCTTCTTTCTATATAACGAAATAAATCACTTGGTCCATCATTTAAACTAAGAAACTCAACATTCGGCAAATTTTAGACAAGATTAAACTTAGTGTGGATTCTACAGGATGTCCAATTCTTGTGTATGTCCTGAGGTACCTTAGTATCCAAAACAAGTGTACTACAGTAGCAAAATAAAATAGTAAACAACTAGATTTTTCACAAAACAATTGAAACAATGCACGTGTCATGTGTTTAAAGCGCCCAGGAAGCTGCCTTTGCTTCTTTCCTCTCCGCAACACCACTGATCCAACTAAGACGGAATATCAACATAAAAGATTACTTCTTAAACATTGCATGGAAAACTACAGTATTTTTATATCACGCATTATCTATCAAACCAACGGATCTTTAATTTATTTTTATATATTTCGGACAAAAATCGCAAATAAAAAATTAACATTTTAAATGTCATCTTTTTTAAATGACATCATAAAATAAATCTATATAAATAAATATACGTATGTGCCGGATTATTATTGACGTAATTAATTGTTGAGAGTTGCAGTGGATATTATAACTTATAGAACATATTCTTTCTCTACCTAAAAATGTTATTAATGCCTGTCACAATGAGAAAGGAGCACCGATTTTAACATTTATTTATTAGATTATTCAGCCCCGACACTTTTGTATTCGGTCAAGGGGGTGCGGGAAACAATTGGGCGAAAGGAATGTATACAGAGGGCGCCGAGTTGGTAGATCACGTACTGGACGTCATACGACGGGAGGCAGAGGGCTGTGATTGTCTTCAGGTATAACTTATTTTAGTAAACCATGCAGGTGACATATTCTGGTGTAACGATTTTCTTTTAGGGGTTTCAGATTGTTCATTCGATAGGAGGGGGTACTGGGTCTGGTTTAGGTTGTTTATTACTAGACAAAATCCGGGAAGAATATCCTGACAGGATTATAAGCACGTTCACCATAATACCAAGTCCCAAGGTTTCTGATACGGTTGTCGAACCCTACAATGCCACGTTGTCTGTAACGCACCTGATTGAGAACTCTGACCAAACCTACATTATAGGTTAGAAAACTTTCACCGTTTGCATTTTAAACTTACTTATTTCCTGCGTCTTAAGTAAGAAAGGGTAAAAAGAATGAGGCCACGTCCAATGTTGAAAAAATATTTCAAAGTAATTAAAATTCGATCCCCGCTATTAGGGTCTCGGATGCTGTTGAAGATCGAGAATCGTTGCATTGCGGCAAGTCGCTAAAGTAAAAGTGCTTAACAATGTACAATTTAGAAGCTTTTAAAATGCCGTTTCAGGCAACAGAAAATCGAAGATTTCTTTTATATTATTTCATCAAAAGCATACCGCTTGTTCTCTTCTAAAAGATGTGCCATGCAGTATATTGTCTTTCATTTTGGAACCATAAGCTGAATAATATTACCGTAGTTGGTCTTGACTTTTCTGGAAAATTATCTATAAATAAATATAAAGAGGATTTACATTAAAACGTGGTGTGAGAACAGCTACATTATTTAAAATTTTTGATGAATTTTTTCATCTGCTAGCCGACGAAGGAACTGAAGGAACATTTTAATCGGTGTATAAATTTCAAATTGCGCATTTTCTGTATTTTTTACGGCGACTGGGACTTCGGCAGGTGTTCCGTAATTTTAGTTTGCTAGACACGTGAACCGAACAATGCCTCAAACGTGTTCGATAAACTCGAATTCGTCATTTTTTTGCCCACCTTATACCAGATTTAAAATAAAATATTGCGGCGTCGGGTGTGAGAAGATGATTCGTTGGATTTGAATTGAGAGATGTTAGAGCGGTCTTATCTGGCTTCTAAATTTTCTATGTTTATATCAAATTTAATAAAAATCATATATTTCACTTCACATTTCACTCACAGCACGATTGATCGCCTGGGAAAGCCCGTTTTTAGCAACTCCAAGTTTAATTAAATGCGTTAAGCATGGTGGCTATTTCAGAAACTCGAAAATAATTTTCAGCATTTTGTCTTAACCGATTTACTTTTTTTTGTCAAATTTCTAGGACCATACTTCCATGCCCTTAATGGAACAACCAATAATTTTATTTACAATTTATTTAATACTATACAGGTTTCTGTTCCTGTGTGTAACCGATTGGCCAAATTCGATGCCTGTTCGATTTATTTTATTGATAAACATGTTCAAATATGAAAACCTGGTCCTAGGTTTTATTTTTAACATTTTCTTATTGATATATTTGATATTATTTCTAGATATATATTTTCTAAAACAGATTTTTTTTAATACATCTAGTTATCGAGATATTATTCAAAATTGCTCAGATTAAATGATTTTTTTCTCATCTCATCGTGGTAAGTCAAATCGGTTGACAAACAACCAACTCTATAGATAATGTTATAACTTAAAAAGCTATAGGCATGTAGCTACTACCTATATAGAAGCCACTAGAAGTAAGTAAATATATGATTTTTTTTTGTTTTTATACCTTTTTAAGCCATCTACGAGTAAATAAAATCACCACAAATAAAGTTACCTCCTCCTAAATTGCAAACTTTTGAAAGCTCTGGCGAAACTCAAGATATCAAATTTGACCCTCTCGGAATAAGCATTAATTTCCGCCATTTGGAAGTATTTTGGCCACCGGAAGAAGTCGTAACCGTTCAGGTCTTTTTTTTAAGTTTTATAGATGTTTTCAAGTTTATTTTTGTAGAAGGCCATAGAGTGTATCCGCCTACGTTCGCTTATAATGAAACTAAACTATTAACGATTAAAATATGTGGAGACAATGTAACATAAATTTAAACATAAAATATGAAAAACAAAAACACATCAAAGTTATTCATGGTTGTGGTAAAAATATTTATAACGATCAATTTAATAATTTTGTTGAATTACCTAAACCTACTTCAGCCTCACACAACAGAAGACGAAATTATTGAGATCGTAAGCGCATCAAAGCCTTTTGATTTATTTTATTCCTTTAGAACACCTCGATTTTACATAAGTAATATGACATTTTCAGATAATGAAGCACTACATGATATATGCCATAGAACTCTAAAAATATCAGCTCCCAGTCTGGCTGATCTTAACCATCTTATATCAGCGGTGATGGCAGGTGTAACTACTTGCATAAGATTTCCCGGACAACTAAATGCCGACTTGAGAAAAGTCAAAGTAAACATGGTGCCATTTCCCAGGCTGCATTTTTTCGTTCCTGGTTTTGCACCACTTGTCTCCAGAGGTAAGTGCAGTGGGATAGCACATGCTAGCACACGGACGGCGGCTCTAACATGCACGGGCACCGCAGAATAGAATTACCGGCCTTGACACATGTTCCAGGATCTTCAAAGCAGATGCGAGATCTGAAAAATAATCTGGAAGAGAGACAATTTGTACTGATAAGAATTAACAGTCAGGCAGCACTGAAAGCGTTAAAAAGACTTCAGTGCTCTTGTAAGACTGCAAAAAAAATACCAAGAGGCCATATCTACAGTATGGCGGATAGAACGGTAACTCCTAGAAAGGAAGAAAACAGAGAGAAATTAGCAAGGAATATAATCTAAACATTAAGCAGAGGAAACGTGATTATTAAGATGAGGAAACTGAGGTGCACGTTCTGTGCAAGTATCATTACGTCGCAGCGAATGTGTCGTTGAAAGTAATTCTACAATACCAATTGATAAGAACTTCACAACAAGAAAATAATTTCCCAATTAGCTTTCCTTATCTTTCTTGGTGTATATTATAAAACTTAAATCAGACTAATGAGTTGCGTGTTAAAGAATCATCAGTTTATCCACCAGCTGTGCGTTTCTGAAATTAAAACCGGATCGATATTTTACTTCTAAAATTAAGAGCGGCTAAAGTATCGCCGTTAAACGAATTAAAATGGAATATATTTCCAGGAACTAGGTCGTACAAGGCAGCAACAGTACCCGAATTGGTACTTCAACTTTTCGACGCCAAAAATCTGATGTGCGCTGTAGATCCAAGAAGAGGAAAATACATGACGGTCGCGTCCATTTTTAGAGGAAGAATGTCGATGCGCGAGGTGGAAGAGCAAATGGTCAACGTGCAAGATAAAAATAGCTCGTATTTTGTGGAATGGATACCGAATAACGTGAAGACGGCAGTGTGCGATATACCTCCCAGGGGGTTAAAAATGTCAGCGACCTTCATAGGTACTGTATGCCTAGCAGCATTGTTGCACCGAACATAAACATGAATAGTAAAAGAATGGTCACTCTTTAGTCTTTCACGTTGCTTTTCTTCGTCGCTCTTTCAGTAGGTGGGGATATAAAGTGTGTATTACATATTGATCCTCTTTAGTTAGTTGAGTAAATCTAAATTTAACTAAATATAACTGATAACATTGAATAATTGAAAACGGGTAAGGATATTAATACGTAGTAATAATGCTATACTGGGTAATGTTATGCCCTTCGAAGGTATTTAAAAAAAAGTAATAAAAATAAGTAACGGAATTTTATTTCTGTTTTAAATAACTTTTGCCTTTCTAAATAACAATTTTGACTTTTCATTTTGGCAAATAGGAAGCCTCATTTTTAACGACTTATTAACGTTTAAGCCATTACGATAGTTATATTAATTATATAATGTTTGAACCCCCTCAAGCACTATCCTTTCCTGGATATAGCGAGTATTAAACGAACGATTTAAATTTGTTACAGCTTTAAACCAGTACTATGCTTGGTAGTATAACAGAAACTTAAATATTAGAATAGTACACCTTTTTAGTTCAACACTGGTTGTTGTAGAACGTAAAATTATCATTCTATCTCTGTTGTCCCCCTTTCTATTGTCTTTTGCAGCTGCTTTCCAACCCAATGTAGAACTAGTTTGTATACGTGAAGCAAAGTTAGAATAGTAATTAACGAGGTAAAAAAGAACGTTCTTTGCCAAGGAACCGATGACGTCACTCTACTCATTTCAAATAAAGTGGACCAAAAGCATAAACGCAGCTCAATAACGATACTGATTATTATTTTATTATTTATATGCAAAATTAATTTTTCACTTAGCTCCTAACGGAATACTCTTTGCAAAGAAACAGTTATTAATCTGACTAATCCTGAAATTAGGAAACACGACTGCTATACAAGACCTGTTCAAAAGAATCGGAGAAGCATTTTCAGCCATGTTCCGCCGGAAGGCTTTTATCCACTGGTATACCGGTGAAGGTATGGAAGAAAGGGAGTTTACTGAAGCCGAATCCAATATGCACGACTTAATTTCTGAATATCAAATGTACGAAGTCGCAACCAACGATGAAGATGAAAACGAAGACTACGAATATATGGACTAATTATATTTGCGGAAAACTATACCGATCTCTTGGCAGACTCAGAAGGGGGGTGTGGGGCAAATTAATAAAATTGCACTTGGCTGAAGTTTAATTTTCCTTAAACTCAAATAAATAATAAAATAGAATATATAGTAGTTTGGACGAAATGAACTTCATTCCGGTTAGTATCCGCTTTGTAAAGGAAATGAGAAACAGTTCCACTTTATTTTATTTTCTCCGACGAGAAAGACAAATTTTTAGCTCACTACGAGCCTAGAATGGGATAAAAGAATACAAATTACTAATCAATTTCCAACGTTATTGATGCGTTTTAGTTTAAAAAAAGGCAATAAAACGAACCACTGCTTATATCGTAAATACCGAAAAATATAATAAGGAATAGTAATAAAATCGATGGCCATCGAAAAACATGATTTTAGCCATGTCTTTTCTGTCCGACAAATAAGGTCAAACTACGAAAAACTTCTATTGAATAAAATAAATGAAGAAAAAATGCATTACTTTTAATGAACCACTTAAATATTCACAATATATTCATGTTCCGTTTAGAAATTTGAGAAATATCTTCTATTAAACTTAGCTGAAATTCATTAATTTTAAATATTTGTCATTAATTGTTGCCCATCTCGACTTATAAAAATTTCGATGAAAATTTTGATGAGAATTTAACCCAAGATGTATAACGGCAATTTTAACTGCAAATATCGGGTGACACGCCACATAGTGAATGTATTCGAATATCATAAAAAATAAAACTAACCAAAACAAAGCATACAAACTTCTCAAATAAATAAAAATCATGCAATTTCAATAGAGATATATAACTTATTTAAAACCGATTTAAAGTTATCTGCTAAAAATAGGTACTTACATTGAAAATTAAAATTTTTAGAGCATATGCTAATCGGTACTTCAAAAAACACTTTATGCTTTTTCCAAAAAAAAAATCAAAGTGCAGCCCATGTATTTTTTTTTTCAAACAATTATCTACAAGCATTAGCGTAAGTTTCAAAATTCGTTATATCTATTTATATTTTATATAAATTTCCAATAACTTCTTATCATTTCTTTTTTCATCTCAATTAAGAGACAAACTATATCTTAACGTTTCGATGTTATGTTACTTTTTCTTTATAATGAACTCCCAACTTACTTCAAATATAAAAACCAACATTCTGAATCTTCGATACTAACTTCGTGAAGTCCAAATTTTAAATTTTCTGTCACTTTCACATGATTTTTTTTGTTGATACTTATTTTTAATGCATTGCTATATTTTAGATAGTTGGGCAGCATATTTATGGAATTTGTTTTTTCCAATGTGTATCTTTTGCAATTATTCTATTAATATATTTCGAAAACTTTTTTTATAGGCATAAACTTCTTGAACATTAAGTTAGAACTTGACACAGCTTTCGAATCAGCCCGGTGGGCCGTTTAAGTGCTAAAGAGATAACATGTAAACTAAAGTAAGCTGAATTAAAGTCAGAGAACAAAGAACATTTCGAGAAAATCTAATACAATTTTTTTAAAGTGATTTCTTAGTTTTTTTGTAATTTTGTAACATTTAACATACGATCAATTTATTAGGAGATTTAATATTTATATATAACTTTTCTTCTTAAGTGTAAGTGACTTCGCAAAGTTTAATTTATGTTAAAGATAAGAATTATTATTTTAAACGTAAACGTAAAATACTAATAAATAAACCCACAAATTCCAATAGTGGCCATACTGTTAAAGCAATTCCACCGGTGACCCGTTTTTTTTATTTTCACCCGGCAATATACATTTTACTGGAGCAGTAAGATATTGGATATCCCTTTTATGTACGACAATATAAAACAAACACGCGACGACAATGACAGTTTCTCTTAATAGTTAGAAGCTATTAATGAACCGTTGTGGGGGACTATAAAATCCTCCGAAGTCAATCATGAATGGATGTTAAATCCGCAGAGTATATTTTTTAAAGCATTTATTTCTTTATATTCGTACTATATCTTCAGATATATCTTTGTGATCGTAATCCCTTACTGAATATTGATCTTTATTATTTGGACATAATTTACGAAAGCCGTAGCCGTAGATTATTTCGGATTATTAAATTAACACAAGAGTTTCCCGAATAATTTATTAGAGAACCACTTTACCTAAAAGAACAACTTCACTTTTCTCAATAGTCTTTGCTGTTCTACGACTGGTTTTTAAATCGAATGATTCTCCACGAAGAACGAGTCTTACAAGAGTTCTAAATGGAAGTTTTATTACGGTTAATATTAGCGAAGGTGTCAGTACTATTTATAAATACTAACTACTAAATACTAAAACCATAATTTAGATACATCTAGAGGAAAACACCACTTATATGCAACAAGTGCCATAAAAGGCATTTGACTCACGAGTTGACACAAGCGGAGCGAGTGTTTAATAAACGAGTGACTTAAAAAGTTTACCGAACACGTGTTGCATACTATACTTTTTCTACGACCGTTAGTTTTACATACAATTGCTCCCAAACTCGTGCGGTAAATTCCCGGAAATGTCCGAAGTGGCTCAGACCCGTGGGAAACGAATCTGACATGGTAAAGTGACGCTTCCCGCACCCTAGGTCGGTGTGTAATTAGGTATTTTACACAAGGGAGTAGAAAAACTAATTTAATATTAATTGAAATTGACAAGTTTGGTGCACCCCAGTTGTTAATGCATCCCAGCAACAGTGGATCTTTGAAATAAAGAAATCTTTAGAAAAATATGTCCTAAATAAATAGAGAATCTGTTTTTTTATATATTTTATATTTATTTATAAATAATAACGATTAATTAATAAATTATCATTATCCTTTTGTAACATATCGCAGTGAAATATCAAACTTTTTTTCCAAAATGTCATTATGCCGTAGCACACGCGTGTTTGATTCAAAATAAGCACTTAAATATCGTTTAGAATTTATTTTCTAATGATATACGTTGGCTTCATTATACCGATATCTTAAAATAAAATAAAATAATTGCATCAATATACACGTACACATATTTATAAAACGCAAAGTCAAAAGTAGCACATGATTTCATCGACTAGACTCGAGAAACTTGTGCATTGCCTTTAAAATTAAGGACTTGAAATAGTACACCAGTTATCTCGTACTTGCATAGAACAAAATAACTAGGCAATTTAATTCTTACACATGTAATGAGTAAATTACCTACAATTTTAGAATTTAATTACTTCTAACGAACAATTTTTCTTAAGTAACAAGTTTGGACACAATAGCAAAATCGAAATTTACACGGGCTGTGATAAATTGCGCTCTTTTATCGATAAACCCCATTTGAACTTCCTTAAACTTATGCACGATCAGTCTCTCTGTATAGGGTGGACAAATTCATATGTTTCTGTAATAGATCTCGAACACTACGAGTGCTATGATAGGAGATGTGGTACATTCTAGATCTTTTTTTTTAACGAAACTCAACCGAACTAACTAACTAACCAGCTAACCAAAACTCAATGGTTAATACCACAACTAGCTATCGTCTTTTAAATTAATCAAGTCGCCCAAATTTGTTATAAATTTCAATTAATTTTTTTGATGAGAAATTTTTACCATGCTTGGTTAAAATATCAATCTTTGCTTGAAAGTATGAAACGTCATTGAAGCCAATGTAGGAATTCATTCTAAATAATATTAATAAATAATTAAATCAAGTTTGATTTTTTTAGACAATCTGATTCATGTATGGAAGCAACAATCATATCCACATATCCATTGTCGGTATCAGTACTTCAAATAAATCTACTGCTCCGAATTGCTAACGATAAGTTATTTACAGAATAGCCCGTCTATTATGGGGTGATATCTTACGTCTAAAACTGTAATTTTTTTTTTATAAAACACCAACTTAGCAACTTAGCAACGAACGATGCCACCAACAAAATTGTCATAACTTGCTTGTTACGGGATGAGCATATTTTCCATATCACTTCCCAAACCTGTGTCCGTGTCTGTGCGTCTACATAAATCGGTGGTATATGGAAAGCTATAATTTGTTTAAAAAGACATATTTCTTATATTAAATTATTTCTGTTGTATACAAGGTTTGCTCAATAAAAGTTGCCAATATCAAAAATTATTATAAAGAATTGTTCACACTAAAAAATAATTTCAAAATATTCATAATTGTTTATTTTCAGGAACGAAAAACGATAACTGAATAACTAGATAACTTTTTAGATATAAAGTTATTATTAAAATAGTGATGAATATTTTGAAAATAATGATTACGTTAAATATCAATTTCAAAAATAATACCTACCTAAAGCAGTCTTTGTCCTCACATTTCTCGAGTAGCCCATTGGATGTAAGATGGCCCAATATCGATCCACAGACACGGCCACCAAACAGAATATGGATATCGTACAAAGAACCACCAGCAACGAAACTGTAAACAGGCAAGCTTCAAGATTGTTGGGCAGACCAACCGAAGACATGATGGCGAACGGTATGCCAAAGAGTCCGACCAGCAAATCGGCGGCGGCCAAAGAAACGATATAGTAATTCGTGCGTCTCCGCAGCCGTCTTTCTCTCTTAAACACGTAAATTACCAACGCATTGCCAAAAACTGCCAACACCGCGACCATTATTTCGCAGATAACATACGGTAGGTTAAGTTCTTCTTTTTGGTAGTCATATGACGTAGAATTTGTGTCGCAGCTTCCCGTGACGTTGATTATTTGAGTCATTTATTTCAGTTCTTATTGCCGGTGGCATTTGTTTGATTTAAAGATAGAACTTTTAGCCATATTCCATTTTCGGACCTTGTACTTTCTCAGTATAGCACATCTGGAACAAATGAGGAAAACGTCAAAGTTATATGTGGGTCACTGAAACCGGGTGATGCTGATGATATTATAGTAATGGAAAAGTTACTACTTTTAAAGTTGAACATCTAATAGCGGGAGTGCGGGACTAATTTCGCTGTCCGCTGGTGAGATGAAATGTGTTAGCAGCACAAAGTTTAGAAATGGACAAAGTTCCTAATAAATTGCGATTTTTTATTAGCCATCGAACAGCAGCATCGTTTAATCGTCTGCTGTGTCTAAAGTATAAATTTTTGGCTAGTTTCTTTTGGAACCTAGCCCAGGAACGACCATAAGCGTAGGTAAACTTTTTCGACAACTACATGCTCGTCCAGGATTTTTGAGTTTCTTCTGATGGTTATTGCTTGTTGGTTATAGTAACAAATTTGGCGGTTTCGGTTTCGTTTTGAAATTAAATTGATTTATTAATATAGGGAACTTTTTAGGAATAAAAATCTTTTAAGAAGCTCATATATTTCGATATATGAATCAAATCCGTATTTTTAAACTGTTTATTATTATTATATTATATATTTATTATATTACGTCTGCAAAGTTTTCAGTTCTTTCAATTACATTGACTTTTTCATTAAAATGGATAATAAAGATAAACACACCAAAAACTAGTTCTGCCCGGGAAGTAAAAAAACAATAACAAACCAAAACTGTTTGACACTTTGCTCCAAAAGTCCAGGAGCGTTCGGATATACAGTTTACACTCTATTAACTCCAAACTTATGTGAAAACTACTCCTACTCCGCTCCGGCACTGTTTTTATTAGCCGAACCTATTATGGAGCTTTCATGGGTCAAGCTGTCAATGGGTGTTAAGGTGAATTCAGGGAAAGGGCAGAGATTAATAATCCATATTAGGAGAAAAGAGGATTTTTTAAAAGAAAGTTGGCTAACATTTCAGTGATGCCATAAGGGGATTATCACGACGACATAAGACATAAATTCGGATGTTTTTCAGGATTAACACCTTAACATCACCTTAAAGAAAACAAGAAATCGTTGTCTGGTTAACAACCAAAAATATTTAATTTGAAATAATTCAATAAAGAAGGAACTGTTACATGTGGGAATTTTATACAAACATCGTATTATAAAACACGTCGTGGAAGATATAGCAGCACACTGTAGTATCATTACAGACTGAATCCTTTAAAACGTACATGGCCGCAATTAAAATGATTTGTAGCAAGAGATGACACGACTTTCAGAATTAATTAAAAATTAATCTACTGTTTGATCAAGTCATTGAAGAAGCGCCACCACAGAACTGGTCAAAAGTCCAAAATTTCATTAAAAAAGAGGAGAAAATATAAGATCTTGACTACTTAATACATCGGACATCATTTTTGTAATTTAATTTCTGTATAATGCATTTTTGGTATAATATTTACTAGAAAATACAAAATGCCCAGTTTTCATTCTGTTAAAATAAAATTCTTTCCTTTTTACGACTACCCTACCGGCCCAAATCCGAGTGGTACTACTTGTACTCGAAAAAAAATTTTGTAACGAAATCAATGACAAATAATGACGATGATTTAAGTATTCATTGTGTCACTCTGTAGTTTATTTGCATACCTAACGAAATTTTATTACTCTACACATTTAGTTGCAGTTGCTCGTTGCAAAACACTCGCATTTGAACTGCTCATGTAGAATCTGCCTCTCGGACAGCGCAGTGCATTAGCTCTGACGGATTTGTGTAAAGTTTCATCGATAAGATTCCTCGATTATTAGTCCATGCAGTGAAAAGTCCATTCCTACTTTTAAATCCTACTCTTAAAATACAAAAGTTCGCACAGCACAATTCTTATCGGCTGACATCCTAAATACAGCCCTGGCTTGTATTACATGTACTGAAAAGAATGGTTCCTTCCGTGGATCTTAAACTCATTCAAAAATTAAAGGTTGTAAAAACGGTATATATTTTGGATAACTCTACTTTCTTTTGTTAAATCATTTTTTGTTACCATTAGTAATTAAAGGCAAATTTAAATTTTTCTAGATTATATAAAAATATTTTTAATGATTCTAACACAAACTATTGTCCTTACTACTCATCCAATAAAATTACTGCGTATGTCATTAATTTGTGGTTTTAACTTGCACGCACCTTAATGACACAAGTTTAATAGATACCCAATGGGAGTTTTTGTAAAAATTTCAATTTTCCACAATTTCATCAGCATACAGTATTTTTAGAAAATGTTAGAAAACAATGGGAATTATTTTCATACCAATGGCAGATAAATGTAATAATACCTGTACGAGTACTTTGGAAAATCATTTCAAATGGTTTATCCTTCTTCGAACTAAGTAGTTTCCACTATTTTTGGTTGTGAAAATCTTGTGAAGGAAGAATGCCTACCAATAATTCATTTCGAGTGTTACATATGGTTGCAGTAATGTATTTATGGCCGAAAAAATAAAATTTCTTTTTTTGGGTAATCTAATCTAATTTTATTTTTATAAATAACTCTACTTATTATTTAAATAAAACACATGAATCTAGTTATGTAAATGAAATATTCCCTTTTTCCGAAGGATCTTTAAGAAGTTAGATACTCATAGACTCTATTCTACACAAGTATTAAACGAAAGCATTGTTTACAATATAATAGTGTTTAAATATTTTTTTCTACTGCCTTCTCTAAAATACCCAATTATACACCGATCTAGCTTGCGGAAAGTGTCATTTTACGACGTCAGTTTCGTTTCCTACATCTGCGAGCCCCTTCGGACATTTCCGGGATATTACCACAACTGTTTGGATGTTTTCGAAGATATTACCCACGATTTGAATTCTGACTCTGTATAGTACTCAACAGCTTTGGCAAACTTGTTAACTCTCGCTTTTATTAAACACTTGCCATTTACCACACTTATTGTATAATATGTCATTAATCAAAAATAAAATCAATCTTTTCTCCAATTTATATAAAAGAGAAAGACAATTACTAATCGTTGTTTTTCTAGTAAAGTTTTCCACACTTTTTCCAAGACTGCACGGAGCTAGTTTAAGAAGTAGGTGATACTGAATATGAATATTAAAATGAATGTCAATGACTCCCAGTTTTGTTCACATCCAAGTTTCTATTCGCATTTCATCCAAAACTTAAAGAAACATTTGTAAAACCCAGATTATGCACAAGTTTAACCAATTTTTGTCTAAGTTAAACTTTAGTTATATTAGTTGTGTTTTAGACGATGATTTATAAATAAAATAATTTAATATACATTATCTGCGTTTTGCCAATAATTTATTTTTTGTCATCCTAAAATGTATATGGATAATTTCCATTTGGTATATACGCACAAGGCTCTACAACTTCATCCTTATTTCAACACTAACGACCGTAGTCGGCATAACATAACTTTCGTTTTTATTAAATGGAGGAAACCTCTTTTTTGATGAAGTGTAAGTACTAAAAAGCTATTTTCGCAAAAGTTACGTGACTGCCTTTTTTACGAGCTGCAAGCACGAAGTAAATGGTCAAATACTCGAGTGCCGCATTTGTCTTCGGGTTTCAAATTCTTCCTGCACCGGTATTTATTCTATGTAACTCATAAGTTGAGATGAACGTTCGGAAACCGAGAGACATTTGGAATAAATGGATTTAATTTATTTGCAGTTAAAGTTAAATTAATGATTCAGAAGCAATAGTTTTTTAATCATCAGCGAATGGTATTTTCGAATATAGGAAGGGTTTACTGATATGAAGATCGAGCGTTTTAAACTTTATGGAAGTATTCATATATATATAAAGATATTAAATGTGAAATACCCTTAAGAAGTTTTAGAATGTAGGGAACAACCCTTGTAGATTACAACACTTGCATAGGGGACGAAAAAAGAACTACTACAGAAGTGCACTAATTAGGGTGGAATATAATAATGTTTAGACCTACACAACGGAACGGGGAGAAAAAATGCAATAAGCATGAAAGTCCAATTTCCAATTAGGAGAGCCCTTAAGCCGCCACTGCAATTCAGATAATCTACTTTAACGGTAGTTCAATTTTAAATCTTGATCCGATTTTAAAAATCAGTAAATAATGTCAATATGTTTGAACAGTCTTTTTGGCAGGCGCGCTGTATCAACAACTTTAGAGTATTCCTAACAAATCTAATAGATGATTTAACATCCTTAAAATTTGACACCGCCTTTGGTTAATAAACCTTGTGAATAAACAAATTAGAGCACTCCTGCCGTCATTAAATAAGAGAAACCAGTCCCACCCGCTGCTTTCCACATTCTAGCAGCAGCACGTGCAAAATTTGCTCAAAGGAAATTATTTTTTTAGTCTGCGACATTTTCAGTTCTAAATACCCAATTGATTTTCCACGAATAAAATAATCTCATATAATAATATACAAAATTATATTTACATTCTCAACAATATTGGGGTTTACATTTTGCATCCAATCTCATAAATTTCATGTTGTAAAGATACAATTTTCACCCCTACAGTAACATCTATTGCCACTCCACGTAAGTCCCCACGCACACGCCACCCTATTTCCGGAAGCTACAAATTTTACCCCCGAGGCATATGAGGGATAGTACGAACACCGTCCGCATAGATGACAACGAATGCTGTGCTTTATTAAGTAAAGATTTTTTTAGTTTAATAAAATCCAGCAGTAATAACAAATATCCATCACAAAATTTGGTTTTTTATTATGTAGTCCGTAATTTCATTAATTTGCCTTTAAGCTTTATCGTTTGTTGGGTTTAACAAACAGTAACGACATTTCGTTCTTCTCAATAAACGTTACTTTTTTTATGAACGCCATATTGGATCTGTGCTGTTGGGTACCCAAATGGACTGTTTTATTGGTTTCAACTAATTAATCTGAAAAGAAGGTTCAAGGTCTCACTACCTTATAGCGAATATTGTGTCCGGTGAATTCAAATGTGCTATAACATCTAGGGAAGTGATACTTTTAAAAGTTTTATTCTCAGTCTCCACAAAAATGACAGGTGATGTTGCCGTTTAAAATATCGTAGTATTCTTGAGATAACCGTTACTTCTTTGTTATCGTCCTGTTGATACAATGAGTAATAAATTTGGCGGTGCTGAGGTCGGTCTAAGCTCTAAGCAAATAACTCATCAATTTGATTCTGATATCGGTTTCCACCTAACGTGATCGGAGATAATACCATAATGCAATCTGAGCACGAATCTTCAAACTGCAACATAACATTGTTGCAAAAAATCGGTCAATATCATCTAACGGAGAGTTAAGTGTTGCTTCGCCATTCTCGACACTTAAGAAATAAAACTCTTTAAGGTGTGTTATTACTTAATTCATTGTCAACTCAACCATTATATTCCTATTTAAAAGGAAGCGAAACGGCGACAGGATGTAATTATGAAATTTGTATACTCAGTAAGTGATATAATAAATGCATTTTCAAAATTAGTTTTAGGAATCTTATCCATATTCTATGATCTAATCGACCGATCATACCTAATTCATTATTTTTCCGTTTTCTGAATAAATAAAACCATGAAAAAACGAAACGCATTGGTAAGCGGAATATCATATATCCGACTACAGTGTAAGCACACCGTACTCAATATGATCTAACTTGCAATATGACAGAATGGCAAAATTAGTTTGTGAATGATTCGCCAAATGGCGTCCCAACAGCATATGTTGTGTTTACATGAAGTGGTTGCTAAATTAAATTAGTAAACACATATATGTTCTGCAAGAGTGTATAGGTAAATACCAAACGTTTTGCCATTTTTTGTTAATTGATAGGATCTATCTGTGGAAGTTCTAATGAATTGGTCTAAAGAATATTCTTCTGAACAAAAAAAATACCGTCACCTCGAAAAAGTTAAAAGTCTTCCGAAACTCAATTGATATTGCAAAATCTGTAAGAGAGAAACCGTGAAGGATATGAAAGTGTAAGTTTTTTGCACCATCTGCAGAGTCTTGGGTTGACCGTAGATGACAAAGGCAACTTGTTATGATCTAATTGAGAATATGTTACGCGAGTAGTGGAAAATGGATGATAAATTATTATTCATTCACTCACTTTACAGAAAACCTACACACACTATTTGTGACACAGACACTTTACAGAATTCCATGCATATGCTGCAAAAAATACATTGGAGAAACAGGATGAACAATATCAACTAAGCTAGAAGAACACCAAACTAGAATTCTTGCATGTAATCAATCCTTCTGTCAAAGAAAAATCCATAGAATTCTCTTAGCAACCAGCAACCGAAGCTCAGGTCTTTACCTGTCACCAATATGCGAATCAGTCATCCTTTAGCTCCCCTGAAATAGTATATAAATAAGCACAGGTACAAAGAAGAATGTAAACCAATTTCAGTTAAGATGCGAAGAAGCCAATCGGTTGATTGGCGAAACGTCAGCAAGTTGGACTCAGCAAAAATCGACGCAGGAGGAATCCGGAAGATGTGTAAATAGTAGGTAGTGTTCTTGAAAAATTAATTGGAATTATTGAATTGTGCCGACGACGGCTTTACTATTTTAAATCCAGAAGCACACAATGTGCCATATTTTTTTTTTCCAAAACAAAATTATCTTTCAATGTCTGCCAAACATAACATGAAAATGGAAAATATGGAATAACAAGAAAGCCGAATTATTATTATTATATTATTATATCAGTATTATAGGTTCTATTGACATTAAAAACTACTCGCTTAATCCATGGGTGTCCCCTGACAATGACATTATTTTGTTGTGAACCTATTAAATTAGATTCGAATTCATACAAAAAATATATTTTCTTAGAAAAAATAGACATGCCAGTTGCAGACGTTTCTCATCTATGAATGCTTTTTATTGTGATATAACATGATGCTTTTTTCTCATGGAGAACATTAATATCCAGATGTTGTTATCGATTATCACAATTGAATACTTTCAATGGGATCTATTTTTTTTTCTCCCATATATAATTAGGAAAATCAATTTATCTTGCCATCTGTGTTACACAGAATTCATAGAGTTTCATTAATTTTATGTTTTCCTTCTATTATAATGAAGCAACCTTCACTAATGGTCTGCAAATAAGGGTGTGGCAATAAACTCAATACATGCATGAGAATTCCTCTAGAATATACGAGTAGTAGGAGTAGGGTGCGAAATGCTTACGCAAATGACAAAGGTTTGGTCAGTGGTATAGTTGTACTTATTAGAGGTATCGTCACTATCACTATATTTAATAATGACGAATTGTCAATTAAAACGTTACTTTATAGACACTCAATGATATTTCTGATTTAATAACAAACGGTAACACGTTAACAGTTGACCACCAATTAAATCATGATAAACAAAAAAACGTTGCAACAGAAAACCACAAATATTTCTGCTAAATTATAGCAGTGCGATCTAAAACAGTTGTGCTTTCGTTAACAATAGTGCTCTTCTCTGCATATAATATGAAAACAATTTCAGCAATCTCAATGATTTAAAAGGAGTGAAAAAGTGATCTAAATCTATTTCTGCAAAACATACCGTTTTCAACAATACAAAAAATAACAATATCGGAAAATAAACTTTTACGCCTTGTATGTTATTAATAAGTGCCATTTTAATAAGTTATAATTTGTACAATATTATTATTTTTTTTAGAATATGATTGGGCTGCTTTTCACCGTACGGACTACCTCGTAACTTCTCATCACAAAATTGTGTATTTACAGGTTCTGGTGTACCTTAATTTTAAAATACCAAATCCTCCGCTACATTTTACTGTTTGCTGCTCTGACATCAATGCGACAGCTTAGTTTATGAGTCTAGCTAGTCAAGTTTGACGCTTATTTCTGGTGGTTTTCCCAAAAAACTAGCCAAAATGGTTCTGGAGTAAGAAACATACTTCCATCTTCAATAAGAGCGACATTTGAGGGTAATGAGTACCTAAAACCAAAAAACATAAGGTATGTCATAAAATAGGCCCTAACGACCAGCTGGAAATTCGTCATTAAAAAGAAGTTCTTATAAACGCAGTTCCGGATATGCTTAGTTTACAATAGATATGAAAACAACCTAAGGATAGGAAAAGTTTGTATTTTTGGAGGCTTATTCAATTAAATTATATATTAAGTTGCCAAATTTCAACAAAATCAATCAAAAAATAGTTAACATATTGTACAAAGTCATTTTTTTAAGTATTTGTCACCTGTCTTAGAACCTAAGAATTTCCGGTTCTAGATCAGATATCAAGTTGTTTTCGTAATCCGTATACTCTGTATACTGCAAAACTGACAATAGGCAACAAGCAGCAAAAAATAATATCTTTCTAAAGCACCTGTTGGTCCCAAACATAGGTATTATATAATAATGGATACTAAGGATATTAGTTAAGTATGTTGCTTAACTTTAAGGAAATTGTTAATTCTGACCAACCCGCAAGAATTTCATTTTTGAAATACCTGCTCTTAATTTTTTTTGTTTCTAAAGGATATTTCAAGTAACGTCGGAATATCAATTGGTAGTACACGTACACGTTCCTTTACTTTTTGTATGTTGTATAACATTTGTGTTTCATTTTTATGTGAGAAAAGTATACTTGGTAGAAATCGCTATAAGCAGACGTTCCAGAAAAATTTGGAATGAATACATGTGATTTTAAGTGGCAAAATTGAAAATAATATTTACTTTTCTTTATAATTCTTTCAATTTTAAGAACTATAATTATAATTCCATGTAATTCATAAGCAGTTCGATATGGCCATTTTGTTTGTAACTGATATTTTGTGCTTGATATTTTAAAATGGCGGCAACTTCCCATTAATCCTATATAGTGCCTAAAACTAGTTATCTTATTGACAGTTTGCTAAAGAATTCTAAAAATTGTACTAAAATTAAGAAAATATAACATTTCCCGTTTTACAAAATATTAACTTGTATTGTGCTATTTCACTTCTAAAACACAAAAAATACCTGAGTAATTGATTTATATTTCTTTTTTTTTTCATTATCAAATTTCATGAAAACTCCAAGAAAAAAAAACTCTAAATTGGTGTAATGATGAATGATTTAAAACAGGGAAGAATCACACAAAATATTAATAGATACAAAACTCGATTATTATTGTAGATCAAGTCAGTATAATTATTGTAAGAATTTGTGATGAATGGTGTAGAGATATTATTGGACACATGAAAATATGAGGAACAACAAAATACGAAAAATGACATGTATTTTAGATTTGAATTTATGAATAAAATATTGTTTCATTCTACTAAGTTATGTTATTTTAAAACGCTGTATCCGTAACTGTGATAAAAGTATGTGCAATAAAAATCGAGTAGATTAAGCCTGGCATCTTGAATTAAATTTGATGATGAGTAGATTTGTTTCTTCATTATTCTCTCCTCTTCTATGATCATCATTTTAGTGTTGTGTTCCGTCTCCGCGTTCAGGATATACAGTGCCTCGCATTCGATTACGCTGACATCACAATTACGGCACCGTTTCGATGAAAAATCGTGTTAGTTAGAATGACTATAAAAATCTCCTTTCAACAAATTTAGACAGCAGTTTGCCTAAGCATTTTCAAAAATGAAGTTTTGATAATTTTTGTTGCCCGGTAAATAATAATAAAAGCGTAAAGGAAAACTAACCAAAAGTATAATATGATATCCAATAAAAAATTTTATACTTCCGCGTCAACAAATTTAAAAAAAAATGTTAGGTTATCTTGGAATCTACAAGTATTTTTTTTTCATTTTGTTGGTAGTTACGTAACTTGATTTATACTCCAAAAGCGGATATAAAAAAATTAAAATGTCAACGATTTAAGGCATTTATTCCTAGTTACAGACTCAAACGGTATATTACAAAATAAAACACACACCTAAAACCCGAGCCACGAATCTAATTAGTTTGCCGGTGGTCGATGTAATCTTAACTAAAAGCGTATTCGTTTGAACTGTCACATAAATTAAAGAACATATATTTAAACTTTTTTTTGTGATTTTGCGAATTTAATTTAACTTTATACGCTAATAAATTTCATTAATAACGTTACTGCTGACATTTGTGTGTACACCGTTATGGAATCTACAGCACCCTTACATAATAATTCAAATTGAAATAATTAAAATTATTATTTTGAATGTGATGGCAAATGTCTACAATATAATAGTGAAAAAACACATTAATGAAGAAGGCGTATATTTTTTGGTATTTTAAGAAATTTAACTTTAACAATTTGTTCAACTGTTACAGTCAAACTTAAACTCACTGGTGTAAAAAGATAGAGACGCAAATATTTGAATCAATGAATATTTTTTCCTAAAATAATTGATTGCTTCCCTAGAAAACTGTCCCGCTGGCTGTGATATTTATTGCATCGCTCACGCTCTTTAGTGTGAAAATTTACATTTTTATGATAGAAAACAAAACTGTTAGAGCCTATGATCGAGGGTTTCTTTTTATTTGTCATAAAACCTCGTAACAACCAAATAAATTTTAGTTTCTTTTTCGTAATTTTTTCATGACTAAAAGTAATTTTTAATTTGCAAAAAATAAGTTTTCCTTGTTCATTCTCTAAGTAAATGCTTGCAACAGAACAAAATACAACATTACACTGAGGCCTGGCGCCAAAACACTATAAAAGTGAACGAAAACTTATATTTTTATTCTCTACAATTTATTGTTTCGCAACACAGATTATACTCGAAGAAAATCTGTCTGAATTATTTTAAAACAATTATGACGAATTTATAAAAAATATCTAGTAATTCAATCTGTATTATTTTCTCCACCATACTAATAATTTACTGTTAAAAACCCACCTAATGAAAAAAATCTTATTTAGTGATCAGCTACTAAATACGAAAACCACTCACTACAATTATTCATCATATACAAATGTACAATGCGGTAGATACACGAATATAGTAAAAAAACGATCGTGATGATGAATTATTTAAAACGGAAGCACTCGGTATAGAACAAATAAAAAACAAAGTTTTTCATATTTTCAACGAATTTTGTAAATAAAGGCCTATTGCGAAAAACTAAAATGAAACAATGAAAAACGTATTCAACTCACTCAAACAATTTTAAGATTGTGCATCCGGAGGGCAGTATTCTGAGAAAATCGAGATTACTGTTAGCATATATTCTTTCACTTCCACGAGAACTTTTCGTTAATTTACGAACTCTTGGCGACAGCCTATCGCACGTCGCGTACGAATTTCGTTGGCAACTGAGTGTGGAGAAGACTGGAAAATTGCAAGTGGTGAGCTTTTGACGCGTCACCGTCGTCTTTCGTATGTTTTTTGGCTGCGCGACTTGCAGCAAACGAAGAGCATGAAAGGCCGAATAAATGTTTTACGATATTAGATCGAAAGCATACGCTTCAAGTCAATGTTTTCGAAGGTAACATTTACATCATATTCTCAACGCACTTGAATTCAGTTATAAGAAATAAGAAAAATTTTTCCTTAATGTACTAACTAAAATTCTGTTTTAAAAATTTCTATTAATTATTTTTTTCTTATATATTTTTTTCAGAACAGTAGTTTCCTAAAGCTCATTTCAAATACAGATGCTGTAACCTAAAAATCTGTGCACATTATCCTTGTATGTATTGTTTCCAACACACAAAGTTACAATTGCGGAAAACATTTACTTGTCTGAACGTACTATAAAGGCGACTACTCCTTACACGGGCTGAATGCTTGACAAGTAGCGAGTATTGTATACGGCTACTCGCAATGACTTGCACTTCCCACCGCTTGTCGAAGAACGCGTCCAAATTAGAGGCGAGAAGCTTACTTCCGAGTTTGTTTATGTCTGTGCGAGGTTTATTCGATAAGTAACAAGTTGTGTTTGTTAGTGATCCAGAAATGGTCTATTGTTTATCGTGAAATGGCGTGGAAGAATGAGGTTACATCGAAACTTCTTGATATTTGTCAAAAGAACCCCATTAGTGTGGACCTATTACATAAACAGCACAAAATGACAAAGTGTTGGAATGCAGCATCTATGAATTAAAAAAGAAAAGGGACTCTCATACGCAACTGCAAAACTAAACTAAAATACAGTGGAAAAAAGTGGTGCTGTTTTGAATGATCTCTATACTCCTTACTCCCATACTCCTGTTTCAAGCTGATATCCACTGTCTTCTAGGTTTTACGCTTTTATCTACTATTTTCGAGTAAAATATAATCACAACTTAATGTTACAAAATTGGCCGAAGGTGCTAGAGCTGTAGTATCGAAACTTTCGTTCATATTTACTAGATACTTTTCTTTCTGCTTAAACTTCCCGAAACAAACCGATGCTTGAAACTTTCTAGTAGGCGCTTAGTGGGTACAATTTACTTCGACTCGGACAAGTACCTGACAAATATGTTCCAAGTCAAGTAACTTGGCAAGTCCCGGGTAGTGAGTAGCCGCCTTAATAATGTAAATAATGAATTAACTTTGGTTGTGGTTGTCTGAAGAAAGTAAGTTTAAAAAATCGTTAATTGATAAAAATTACATTTATATATACTATTTTTAGTATTTTAGTTCTCGTAAGCATTATCACGATGAAAACAAGTTGTCCAAAGTCCAGTACTCCCCATCATTTTTTCATTCTCTGAACATTGGGTGCGCCTTGGCGCCTTCTTCATCTAATAAAAGTGCAATTGCACACAACTTTTTTTGCGAAAAAAAAAACAATGATATTGGTAATAAAAACGTAGGATTATTACTAATAAAAAAAACACAATAATTACTACTTACTAATTACTATTAACTGCAGAATAAAAAGTAATACCTAACCTATCAACTGGTAATTTTACTTCTTGACATTTTTAATAATACCATTATTATTAGTATTACCGGTATTGCCATTAGTTATTTTATCCAGTTATTACAAGAGATATGTCTCTAGCATATAGAAGGTATAACCGTTTCCGTATATGTAACATTTAGCAATGAATTAATTAATTAGCTGTTTGACCCGGCCCCCCAGTCCATTTACATTGTATTATTTTCACCGTAACTTGCCTTTGCGTAATTGTAAAGCAATTCAACTTAAAACAAAAACACAATAATCATGACCGACGAAGCTTGGATTTTTTAGAACTTTTCTTTCTACAAGAATTAGGTTTGTCAAGGATCGGATTCAAGCGAGAGTTAAAACTTCAAATAATCCAATCATTCGTCCCCTCTGGAATTGCACCGAATTATAAAACAAAACAAAACATAGTATAATTATTAATAACAATTAAAAGTTCTTGCCTGGCCACAGAGATCACAAAGGCATACTTAATTGTAACTTCATATTGTTTTGTAATATTCCATCGTCCAAAGAATTAATTTACTGTAAGGCGGTGTTGTTTCCTTCATTAATTTTAGTCAGATAACCAAAACAACACGTGCAGAATTATCAATACGGTAACATAAGCCTAACGTTTCTTTCTGTTGAGAAGATGAGCTTCACTCGGTTTAGATTAAGTACCACATTTTTTAAAATCTCTATATTTGTATAAAAAATATAAAATCATTTTAACAGTGGTGTGGCCTAAAAAAATTAACTATCTACTAAATACAATAAAGGCTTGACGCTATTTTGATAACACAGGCAATTACGTAAGAAATATTTCAAAATATTGAGGATTAATTTTGCTCGTACGAAGAAAACTTCAAATTTTTCAATTTGAAGTGACTTGAAACTCGAAGAAACTGTTGTGATGTTGCTTTTGCTGTACAAAGTTGTAAATAACCTTGCAGATTCTTCTTTTCGTATAAATTAATTGAACTTTAACGCTAATCCATATAAGGTGCGAACAAGACTGACTTTTTCTATTGGGGCCTTAGGTCGAATTACTTTTCTAACTCTCCTATAGTAAGATGTGCATAGATATAGATACATTTAATTTAAGCCTTAGTTTATTTAAAACAAAGATATATAACTTTCTTTAACTAAGTATAATTTATTTAAATCTAACCTTTGCTTTCATTTTAGAGATAAGAAATTTATTGCTCACTTTCCCCATTTTGTTAACTAGAAATCTATATTGTGTCATTCTGTAACTCGGTAGCTGCGTCTGCCTGTTGAATGGCATGTGAAATATAAATGAATAAATATTCAACTTGCTCATGAGCTCATCATTTTAAAAGTCGCTTTCTTATCGAAGCATCGTGTTATTCAATCAACGCTACTTAGAAAATCTTTCCATTTAGAACCTCACAAAACAAGTTCTTACACCTTTGCACTTAGAAGCAATGACAAAACATTAAATTTTATGTAAAGAATTATTATTACTTGTTCAAAAGTTTCTATTGGCCGTGATTTCAAAACAAATAGATAAAAATTGATGTGTATTTTTCAATCATTGAAAATAACTTAAAATTGCTTTTATAAAAATATAGAATATATGAAAATGCAATTTTAATATATTTTCAATCATTCAAACAATATGCCAGGTGTCCAATATGAAAAATCTATTAGTTTTAAAAATATTATACTTATACGTTAAATTCTACTTAAAACTTGCTTTAGAAATGTTTTTATAGAAACACAGGATTTCCCATAGTAAAAAATTATAACGATTTTTTTTTTAAATGCACATTTTCAAAAAAGCACCCTATAACTGAGATATCCATGGGTTTACGATTACGCCCATACTCCGACAGTTTTCATCTATCTTCTATCCTAGAAGTGTTCAATTTGGACACCTTGTAAAAAAACATCATCTATAAGATATCTTGTATCCTTAAAGTTTGATCGAAACCGTTTTACATTCTTTACAATAATCTCATTGACTTAAGCTACTTCAGCAGCTTTTCACGGTTTCACCAACTCTTCCACTTCCGGTTCACGGTTTCCACTTTAGTAGCGTCAATAAACTCCAACATAATACTATATGTATTGTATACCACTGTGGTGGAATATATATATATATATATATATATATATATATATATATATATATATATATATATATATATATATATATATATATATATATATATATATACCTACATATATATGACTATATTCAAAGATCAAATCAAATCAAAGATATTATTAGCGTTAAGACATGGACAGTTCCCAACAGTTGCTTTCGGTATTTCAGAGACTCGATGTCTACCAGGGAATTTGTTCAAATATTAATCATTTGTTCCAAAATATATTCAATTGATAAAAACAAAGTGCGATACCTTAAATATATGGCTGTATGTGGAATTCACGATTTTAAAACTAATTGTTGATTTTTTACTCAAATTTAAAGGCCTGTTTATCAAACGTCTAGCGAGGACAGGAGTTTTCCAAATGTTTTCACATGATTACAGAAATTTCGGAGGGGAAACAGGTGTATCTATCGGAACCTCGTAATTGAACCATATCAAATTATTCTAAAAAAAATAATATTAGTAAACAATTTTTATTCACTAAATTTATAATGTTCACAAATTTTGTAACGCTGCTCTTACCTGACTCAATATCGAATGCTAGTTGTGGCACTTGGCATCAGACTTAACAGAAAGCCGATATATTGTTGTTATAAGAGAGTTTCAGACTCAAATATCAAAATATGCACTGATCAGGCGTGCTCAAAGTGTCACTTTCTACGTCAGCTTCACGGATATTTCACTGTAGGTATTTTGATTTGGTTGTTCATATTTTCTGTATTCATCACGTCAATCAATGTTTTGCAAAAACGTGCATTGGTCCTATGACACCTCCGAAAAGCGTCGAAAAAAAAAGGTTTTGTCTATTTCTCTTTTTCCGTGTGGACTAAAACCGCTAGAATTCAGCTACTGTTTCTATATTCAGAATTCCAATATTCTGGAAGTGAAATATTAAACCAAACCAACCAAGGCAACTCTGATTTTTTGTCAATTTTCCTTAAATTTTTCGATTTTGTTATGAAAAAAAGTTGAAGCTATCGATTTAAAATTTAGCGGAATGGTCCGGGGCCCTGACGGAACCTATTAAAATTAGGCGGTTGGGAGTGAGGAAGTATTTTCAAGTTCAAAACCGTTTTTTCGTATTCAAAAAAAAAAATCTGTGTGCCAGCTATTCACCAAAATCTGAATATCGAGTTCCCCTTGGTATGAAAATTTTGTAGACCGTATCGAAAGCTAAATGCGCCATGTTAAAAGATACAAGAAATTTGGCAAATGTAAAAGTCCACCCCTATATGTAACCTGTAAGTGGTGGCAATCGGACGAAGAGAAATTTGTAAAAGGTAATAGATTTTTTGAGTTATCTTTCGCAAAAAGGGACAATGTGATTTAAATGGTAGCATTATATTTTTCAAAATACAGACCACAAAGCAAACCAGAATTCTATTCGCCTTGCGCAAGTTACTGTGAACCACTATACAGGGTGATCCGTAATGAATGAGCCAAAAATCAATCTTAGATTAACCTTATGAAAATAATGATATTGGGCCCAATATGCCTTCCTATAATGTCGCTGATTAGAGAAATTCAGTTCTCGAAATTCGCGGGTTTTTTGATATTGCTAATAGTTATATTCTGTTTTTTTCACATAATACGTAATAAAAACATAATACTTGAGATATAGAGAAATAATAATCTCGAAAAATTAACCTTTTGACTCAATATGTTTTATCGAAATAAATATAGTATACCGTTTTACTAAGAAATCTTCACCCTATCAGAATTTTCAAAGTAGCGAAAGGGAACTAAGAAAGTTATAGTATAAAATAACCAGATTATAGCGTGTAACTAAAGCCCTCTACACATTACGTGAAAAAAAAATTTAATCCTATTGGCCATCTTAAAACAGAACCGAATCCAAGTTTTAATGTCAATATTTAAGAAAATGCTTAAGCTACTTGTAAATAACAATTCTGAGAACTAAACCTGTATCTCTTAGTGAGGCATATTTGGCTCAATATCACAAGCAGGCTCACCAACCGTACAGGATTTGCCAGTACAGGTTCAGGTTTTTCCGACGTCCTGGAAAATCTACTCGCCCTGGATTATCCAGGATTTTTCAATATAGTTATATTTTGTCTCCCATTAGCCACAAATTCAACGCACAATAAAATCTACTTTATTGTAAAATGAAACGTTTCAGTGTGTTATGAAACCCACATAATTCAAGAGTTTGAAGTTACACAAATTCCGTTTATAAAACAACGCTCCGAGTAATTTAAAAATGTAATTATATATAGTATTCAGTATAAAATAATCAAGTATAAACAACAACCTGCCGCCATCTTGAAAATAGTATGCCGAATGGCCTCGGATGTGTATAGTAATTACTCGAAATGTTTCCAGGCCAATAGAAGTAAAGAAGATAGCCAAATTTTCAAATATCCAATATAAATTCAATATTCGCTTTTTGTATTAATAAATACCCAATAAACTAGCAAAAGGCAACAGTTTTATGTAAGTCAAACAAACAAAACAAAAAATATAAATCAAATATTTTATGAAAACTATTTACAATTGTTAAAAAAATGTGTAAACTGTATAGCTTGTTCACAAAATCAGACCCTCTTTCGTTTCCTGTCCAAAGCATTAAGTTCACTTTGTTGAAAGGCAGCTTCGGCAAATATTCTTTTAACTTTTTCTTTTCGTTCCATATCACTAAAAAATTAATATTTAATCACATCTGTAAATGTCAAAATTGTGTTAAGTTCACCTGTGCATCTTTTGTTTAATTTTAACTCTCCCCAGGAATGCTTTATCTCTTCGAATCTCCCTAAGAGCGCCCTTTCTTTCTCTTTTCAGCTTATGAATCAATTTATCTCTTTCTGCTTTTTCCTTCGACTGCACTTTTCGCCGTTTTGTGTCATATCTATAAAAATATGTTGATTATTATTTTAATTAAAGGAAAACTTCACTTACACTTCTTCTATTTTTGGTTCATATAATCTTAATGCTTTGGGTTTCTTTTCTGCCAACTTAACGTAATTTAGTCGCCTGTTTTTCCTTAGTTCATTTAAGCTCATACCTAATTGTTCATGTTGATTTATAACTTCATTTGGATAATATTCTAGTGGTATTTTTTTAAGAAAATTTTCGACAAGGGCAAATATTTCTAAACAACTAGGCAATGTCTTGTATTTTTCAAAAAATTCCCTCAGTAGTTGTAACGTCCTGTATAAAATATTTATTTTAAATTCATCATTAATTTCTGGATCAATTAATATGGTAGGGTTCAATTTTGAGCTAGGCTTTATTTTTGAGCAATCCCTTAATAATACCAATTGACTGTAAACTGGTTTAAAAGGTGGAGGCACTTTTATAAGTTGCACGCCATTTTTTGGTATAGACATGTGCAAAATCCCTGTTAAAAAGTTAATTGCTGCGGGCAGGTATCTATTGGATAGATCAGTATACTGAAATAAAAAAAATGGAAAATCATTATTTTGTAATTGAAATGTTAATAAAAAAAATATTACCTCTGAAACTAAAGTGCATAAAAAAAAACCACGTGAAATATCCCTTCCATTTTTAATTCTACATTTGGTCAACATTTGTTCCATGAATACAAAGCATGGTGTCACCACTTGATGCCTGAAATCTGATGTGGTAAACAACAGGCTCACTAATTTAAAAAAAAACAACACTTCCAAAGTGGGACAACTTGTCTTCTTTATTCGAAATTCTTCGTGTTTTTGCTTCAATACTTCTAGAATGGATTTATGTGCATTGAGTGGATTCAACTGAGCCAAATCATAAATTTGGGGCATTATTGATTTGTAAATAAATAAGTGATCTGTAAGGATTTGTGTGTCAGGCACAGTAGAGAACAAATCGTTTAAATATTGTAAGAGGAATACAAACAATAATCCCAATTGCTCTTTGTTGCCTTGAGACAAACTTGGATCATTGTCTTTAATCAACTTTTCTAAAACAGCACTTTGCTGTCTAGCAGAATACCGGTGTAGCAAAATGACAAAATTCTCATAAGATGTTGGTAAGGAAATTTTTTTTGGCAACTTCTCCTTAATATCTTCAGCTTTATTTTCATGTTTTCTGTGATATTTGAAATCTGCATCTTCACTTTTTGGTTTATTGACTATAGCAGACATAGCAGCATTCTCTTCCGCTTTTAATACTGCTAAGGCATTTGAATCATCCTCACTGTCACTTTCACTATGTGCCTCGGCATTTTTTAGATCTCCCAATGAATCTTCTGATTCTGAATTTGAATATTCAGATTTACTATTTAACTCAATATCTGAATCTGCCTAAAAGTAATGAAAATGCTAATAATGCCTCTTCGTGCAACCAAAAGAGCAATGCCTAAATTTACCATAGGTGATATTAAATACAATAGGGTTTCTATACCGGATGTCCCTCCGGGTACTCAGTTGATCTCTAATGGGAAAGCAGCAAAAATTTGAAAATTTATAATTATACTTATTTTGGTGGAGGTAATCATGCTCGAATATTTTCAAGATGGGGCACATCCGGATTTACCGGAAGTGGGTGTTGTCAAAATTTTTATTTTAAATGGAATACTATATTGTTTTTTTGGATTATCCTAAACATAAATTTTACCGTTTCTGAAGTATTTAACAATTTATGTCAAAAAGGACTTGTATGGACCGAACAATATCTGTAATTTTTTTCCCATCCTTTCAAATTTTACTCTATTAACTTGCCCTGTAGAAAATAGTATGTCTGACCAAGTAAAAAACAATTAAATGGCATTATCCCGATAACGATAAATATTCCTAATATACAAGTTAATAAAAAGTAGTCCTAATTTTTAATTCTAAATAAGATAAGATTATAAAAATGGGTTGGTTAACTTTGAAAAAAAAATAATTCTCGCCAGTTTTTTCAATTTTACTTTAATTGATATTTTTCTCACCATCCTGTAATCCAGTAATTTAAATTACTAACTAAATTTGTTCAGCACATCGATTTCTACAGGGTAAGTTAATAGGCTAAATTTGACATATATTTTTCGGTTTTAAATATTCTAAAAAAGGTGAAATTTAGGTAAAAGATTTTAAGTACGAAATATTTTTAGACTTTTTCCCGAAATTTAAAAAAAGCAATGACATATAGTTTGTTTCATTTAAAATACGCAAGTGGACACCCACATCAGGTATATGTAGATAGACGTGCCGCGATCTTGAAAATATTTTAACCAGATTGCCCCCACCACCAATTCCAAAAGTTTGCTACTTATAGTTTTCCCATAACACATCGGCGAATTTCTCAATGGGACACCCTGTATAATGCAACAGTAAAATAACTTAATTCAACCATAATTTTGAGAAAGCCAAACTATATTTGTAAGTTTAAATACTCTTTATTAGCTCTTATTGTATTTTTAATTTTAACTTGTATGTTGATGCTTCGGTACCAGCGAAATCTTACTGATTTCGAGCCAGCAATAAACAAATTCAGAAAAATGTTTTTTTTGCAATGTATTAAAAATTGCCGAGAAAAACACTTGAAAGTTTTTGTATTTAAAATAATAATCTAAGTACTGTAATTTACAAAGTTGGTCAACTAAAAACCTACCTCATCACAGATTTCTGATACATCTTTCCCATTCATTTTGGCTTCAATAATTACACTAGGCTTACCCTCTTCATTATAGGTCAACATCTGTTCTGTGTCTGACTCATATACAACATCATCATCCAAATCATCTGCGCTTCTGTATTTACTTTTGAATGCTTCAAAAGGCTCACTCATGCGTTCAATGCGGTCTTGCTCCATTGTTTTTAGTTTTTCCTGCTCATCTTTCTCCACCTCTTTCACATTTTTAAGACGGTCAGAAACAGTACCTCTGGCTTCAAATTTTAACTCCCTCAACATCTTATCATAATCATCCAATGAGTGTTTGTCAGCTGTATCTTCCCCTAATGATTTTTTTGTATTTACAATCTGCATCAAATCTTTCCATTCAGTATCCAATTTTTCAGTAAGATCTAGAGTTGTTTCCTTAATTTTTTGTTTCTCAGCCTTGCGTTTCTTGGATTCTTCAATTAACTGATTAATTAGTTGCTTGTGACTTGTTGCTCCATCATGACCAGTCTTGCTGAAGATTCCACCACCAAAATGGACATCTTTGACAAAATCAGAGTCTAATTTCCCAGTCTGACCGTCCTCTAAACTTTCATCATCTGATCTGGGATCATCAAACTTCTCAATTTCAGACAGAGTTTGCCCCCTATGAGTAATTATTTCATCATCAGCCAGATTAAAAATGTTTTTCTTCTTATTTGCTCTTATTCTAGCAGCTGTAAATCTAACCAATGTTTTATCAGCACCCGTCATATCTTTATTTTTTTCACCAATACGCTTATCCACAAATTTGTTTGATTTATTCTGCAACTTATATTCTTGCAAGAGAGTGCGCTTTCGTTTTTTTATTGCTTTCGCTTTTGATATACCCGGCAAACCTTTATCGTTTTTTTGCTTTTTTCCTAGGACTTTAAATTTTTCTCGATTTAGGTGAACTTCGAAAGGATTTATTGACTTGACATTTCGTAAATTTTCCTTTTTCTTTTGTACTTTATCAGCATTTACTCGTTTTTTATTTTTTATCTTGGCCATTTTTGAGTAGAATAACATAAACTTAAAAATGAAAAACTAACCTCTCAACGAAAAAGTCATAGAATAACAGCTCAGGCACATGCTACTATAGAAGGAAATTTCTTCTTATTTTTTTGTCAACAATTGCGACAGACACAGACACGGACATTAGAGGTAAAAAAATCTTAACATCCACTTGAATTTTAAAATTGACACACAGGAAGGCACAAATATTATACAAGCATCTGTTGTTGATTTTTAAGTTTTTTTTTTAGTTATTTGTGTTCACTAAAATTACTATATGTAGTTTGCGGATTTCAATATTCACATAGGGAATTAGGTTTCAGTGTTCCACTTCGTGTGGAAAATGGTCCATGTCCTTTTTGGGCAATAATAAAATAATTCTAAAATTTTAACTAAGGCCTGGTAACTGGGCTTATTCAGCTGTGCACAGCTTTTTAGTGATGCCTGAGCAATACCAGCTCAACGGTGCGATGCGCGAGTAATTTTCGTCAAGTGTTGAGCATCAATCGCAACGAAGAAATATTATGATGCTTCTACCCAGCGTTTTTTTGGTAACAGCTGTGTTATGTCCTTTTTTTGTGACAAAATTCTAATATATATATTTCGCTCATTTTTTCGAATGTGGGAAGAAAAGTGGCAATTTCCTCAGAAAATTATTGCCTAGTAACTGATGAAAAAGGGGAACCCATTATTGAAAGTCATAAGCTTTTATTGCAGATTATCACAGGTAGTCAAATTTTGATATTTTTTGTAACAATAAATAAAACATCCCACATTTCTAGAAGAAAACTACATATGTGTAGATGCTCCTCCCCAAATATTTTGCTGAATTTGGTATTAAAAGAAAAGAAGAGATGAAATCACAAATATATAAATATGTTATGCAAAATTTTTCAGAAGATAAAATTGCTCTACTGAAGAACCACAAAATACCTAAATTGACACCCGTAATGGCAAAGTGATTAATGGAGACAAAAAAGAAAAGCTTGTTCAAACAAAATCTTTTGAAGAATGCGAAAAATATAGTTGCACCTTGGAGAGGGCAAGCTGGAGGAATTGAAAAAACTCCATGCATATTTACAAGAGAAAAACTAGAACTTCTAAGGAATCTAAGGAAACAGAGCCAAATCCATAATGAACAAAGTAGGTAAAATGCATCCTTGTTTACTTTCTTATATATTTAAAAAAATATTTGTTTTTTTTTGTCATATAGATATTTTTCTTAATTGTAGTTAAATTTTTTACTTTTGTAAATTATTAAAATACATTGTTGAAATAATTCTGGTTTTAATGTAAAATATTTTAACTTTAACAATTATTGTCAACTCATAATACATTTGCTATGTAGTCTCTTTCCATCTGTCCTTAAATTCAATTCTTTATTATCTAGCTATACATTCTATTTCTTGCGGATCAGAGTTTTCATAAGGTATAATTAGGTTATGTAACACACATGCTGCAGTTATAACTAATAGAATTTTGTCAGCCCTGCTCATTTCTAAATATTTCAACCTTCTAAATTTTTCTTATAATCCAAAACATTGTTGAATTAAAACACGTATAGAACTAGGCAATGTATTAAATCATACTTGCTGAGGTGTCACACATCCACTATCTGTATATGGTTTTAAGAGAAATAAACAAAGTGGATAAGCATTATCACCTATTAAATGCTGACTGACAGGGCTAATTTTAAAAACTCTTGCGCCATGTACTCTGGCAAGGGTACTAACAATGATATCCATACATTTTCTTTTTTCACACTGCCTGTAGAATAATAGAGTGAACATTAGTTCTATAATAATCGTCATTTGCGTTATGGTGTGGGACAATATGTGTTGCATCAATCATGCCCACTATTCCAGGTATGCTTGAAAATAGCCACATATTTATCGGTTGCTTTTATGATGTGTTACTTTGAAAACAGCTAGAAGATTAAAAGTTTAATGAACCGAGACAAAGATCATGCTTTTTGGCACACAGCTGTTATTTACCAGATTTTTTTTCCAAGATTCTACTCGTAAAGCTTCTTTGATTTTCATCAACTTAAAAAAAAAAGACATTTGCAGTACTTTTAGCTAAATGGGTTTGGTTTCCTGCAGCTCTAAAACTTTCCTGTTGCCCCAGCATCCATAATGTGAAGAAAATCTTTTTTCAAATGGTATCCTAACAATTTTGAGGTTTAATTTAGTGAATACAGTCTGAAAGACAAGTCAAAAAATTAAATCTATTTTTAAAGTCAATACCTCAATGTATGTCTAGTCATTCTGAAATATAGGTATATACTGAGGACAGAGTGATGGTTATCTCATAAAAATTCTCATTCCTAATTAGTGTTGGCCTTTCCAGTGGAATAGGATCTACCACTGCAACCAAGTTGAAAAAGTCTCCTTTGTAAGGGGTAGATGAACAGATTTCCTCTGATATTTATATAAATAGATAGATATACTAGAGATACAACTTCCTATACTTACTACAAGGGTGAGAACTTCTATATTTCTTGTACGTATTGGTCTGGACCAAAAGCGAAAATCCTTGACGAAAGTCGACAATGGGCAAATAATCCTAGCAGTCGAGCTCAATACTGAAACACATAATTGAACTTCACCTTGAAATGATGGCCGAATGATCCTAGCAGTTTTGGCCAACAGAAGTAAAAAAAGAAAAGAAGAACTTGAACCGTGGTCCATATTCCGTTCAAAACCATATTCCTTTCAATTTTTTTTTATTGCAATGTTAATGTTTTTTTATAACTTTATGTATGCTGCTCTAAATTTTCTCTAAGACATTAAATCTGCGTTGTGCCTTTTGGGCATGGAATAACAAGCAAGCTGGTAGCAACGCCAAAATTTAAAAAGAATTACAACCAAAAATACCAATTTGAAACTGTGACTGTGAATAACCTATAAAACTCGTTTTCATGGATCTAATAAACGAATATAAAGCATTTGAAAAAAATATCTGACCCGCTTATAAGCATTGTTTGATATTTGAAAATGTTTTTTAAAGAACGGGATAATTTTATGGTAGAAGAAATTAATATATATTGTAAAAGTTCTATTACAAAATAAGCCGATTTTTAGTTTGGTATTCAACATGCTCTCAGTCTTCCCCTTCGTAGAAAATGTGCCGAATTAACAGTATTGTTTGATCGCGGTACTTTATTGGAATTGCACAATATTTTTCCTGTACTAATTGACAACATATTTGGCCCGCAAGGTACAGTATGTTGGTGGTTAAGAACAACTACTGAAGAACAGTTGGAAGATTTTCAACAACTTCATCACTTTTTGTCACCTTGCGGTCCTTTGTTTAATCTAATCTATACTTTATTAAAGGATCCAAGCATTAAGTATGAATTTCCTTTGACATTTTTACCAGTAAGTTATCCAATTAATGCAGCCTTATATCAACTGACTTTAATTTTTTTATTTTAGGAAAAAGTTAAGCAATTTTTGGAACATCCTACTGGACATCCATTTTACTCAGATCTAATAAATACTTCATCAAATAAACAAGTCACATCTCTTATGCTCAGTATGTAGTTTACATACATATATTTTGAAAAATTGCAATTATGTTTTTTGATATTTTAGATGCTTTTGACTATTATTTCTTCCATTTTGCTTACCATTTGATAAATCCTTGGCAGCAGAGAGCGGGTGCCTTTGTAACATCCTGGAATACTGTGTATTATGTCCTATGCTGTGATTATATTTTACACTTTTTACCTACAGACCCTAATACTACTATCTTGCCAGAAATATATTATAATGGAAAGAATCCGACAAAATCCATCCCAACCAATTTAACGTAAGTACTTTTTTATTTTTGTATATTTTTCGGAGAAGAACAAACTATAAAATTGTGTGAGGAGATGCAAGTATGGTGGTAATAAAATATATAAAGCAATGGGATTTTCAGAAATGCAATTCTTTTGTACCTTAAAAATTATGTAATTACTAATGAACAAACAAATGCTAAAGCAAATTTTATATTTAAAAAAAAAATTACTTATTTTGAATAAAATTAAACACACTTTACATTTGTTATATAAATTATAACAATTTTAACAATTGTGTTTATGAACTTGTACGATATTTCTTTTAGGCATCCTCCCAGGTCAGGAGGAATTAACATATTCATGAATCCTATAGTCCTAAACAAAAACATTGAAGACAACAAATTTGTAAATTTGGATCGTCATCATCCAAGAAATGAAATTTGGCGTAGTGAGACGGTTTTAACAGTTTTTATTGATATGTGGCTCCATATTGATTCCATAAACCAGTCCATTAGTCCCACTGATGTTATGACTTCTGTAAGTAGTCTTCAAGTATCATATTCTCATTAAAATGCAATTTTTTTAGAGATTATATTTTAATGAATTGCCAACTGGTGAATATATGAGAATAGTAAGAGCTTTAATAAAACAACTTCATTCATTTGCTAACAGTGCTAAGGAAGATGATACTCCATTGGGTGAACTAAAAAAAATTACTATATCAATGATTCAGGGAAAAGTGTACATATTCCTGAGAAACCTGATACATCGCTGGCCTTTAGATGGTTCTTTTCGGCTAGTCTTAGAACTATGGTTAACTTATATACAGCCATGGCGTTACTTTGCAAATACTTTTAAGAAGCAGATGTAAGCTTTACATAAGGTTTTCAATATGTCATATGATTATTTTTATACTTTGCGAGAATTTATTGTTACAGACAATGTAGTAATAGTTAAAAAAAAATTATATGAAAATCACCTTTGGGTAGACATCAGAAACAGATCTATTAACTGGTTTATGACAGCTGTTTTCCCCTTTATCACATTTATATTTATATTTTTTATTTTTTTCCAGGATGTTGCTGAAACAGCTGTCATAAACCAATAAATAACTGTAAAAGTCTGAGTATTTTTTGTTTTAAATTGTATTAAATTGGTTTTCAAGTAAAAGCCACCTCTCTTTAAATGAACCTGTTGGGGAGTGAGTTTTCGAAGTGGACAGGTTCAGACTACTTTTCTTTAAGCTATGATTGGCTGACAATGTATTTGTTAAATAAGAATTACCTTCTAAGTATAGCACATCTGTGTGCCATGTAACAGAAAAGAGCATAGTAAACATTTCCAATTCAGTCACTGGTTATTTTGAAAAATCATAAAATTTTGCAGCCTTTTAAACTAACAATGGAATTAAAGTATTATTGTACACATTTGTTAACAAAACTGGTTCTAAAAAAACGGCACATTTTTATTTACAAAATTACTGGTCCATATTTTACTGAGTAGGATAATTAAATTTTAATCTTTTAGGGAGGTTAATCCTGATACTGAAGATGCTTTAAGCCCATCTGATAAACAACAACATACACTCACTTCTGAATACTTACCATTTATAGCTGAAAATCTGTTGTGTTACACAGTCATTTTTCATCAACTGTTATCAAGATTTGTTAGAGTAGATTTGGTTAGTCCAAAAATGTCATTGATGCTGTATAGAATTACCAAGGTAGTTTTTGTTTATACAATTTAATAAATATTGTGTTCCTCATTTTGTTGTAGGTTTTTGACCAACCTAATCTTCCGGACTACCTGAAAGAAGTCGAACAATGTGTTGATAACAATCGGACATCACCAACTCGTCCTAAGCATAATGCAGAGATTTTACCCCCTCTTTCCCCAAGCGCCTGGTTAAATACGCCTACGAAATCATTTTGGAACCATAATACTGCTAGTACATTTTCTGGCAGTATAATTGGACATGGCGAGAAAAAATGGTTGGTAATTGTAAGGCAAAGGATGAATGAATTAGAAGGACCTAGTTTTGTTTACAAGAAGCTATTTTCTGAGCCACCTGTGCATGAGGTACAATGTTCTTATAAAGAAACCAAGTTTGGAAATTTTACTTATATGAAGTTTTGGTTTTCTTTATTAATAAACATCTCATTTTTCAGGTGTACGAACTCTTAATACAAATCCAAAAGTCAATAGGATCTGCTCAGAACATAATAAAAATGAAAGAACATGAAGAAAAAGAAATGTATTCAGGTTTTTGGGGTTCTGTAAAATATTTATTACAAGCATCTGCTTCAACTGATGAGTTTACTCTCAATGATAGGAAGAAAGTTCCTCTTTACTTGGAAGTGTCCTTAGGAAATTTAAAGGACATGTTTAACATTAGGGATGAGGTAAAAAACAAGACAGAATTGTTATAAGGTATCATCACAGTATTTTAGTATTTCAACTATGAACCAGAAACCAGTCCTGTTTTAAGTGAATCCACTGATTTGTCAAATAATTTCAAGATGCTCACACCTGAAAGAGTTCGAAGCCGATTAAAAACCATTAAATATGAAGGCGACCCTGACTTACTACCCATCAGATCGGATGAATGCGCTTTTTTAGTTAGGACTTTATACCAAGTCTCATTGAAAATTAATGAAAATGTAAGTAAATATCGTTAGTTGATTAAATGAGCTCTTATTATTTTTTTTTAATCATCTGAACGACTTGCTAATTGCGGTCTCCCTTTTTTTGTATTTGTGCCAATTTGAAACTGAATTACAATTTAAGTAAAGCAACAGTATTGCTATTAAAACCAACTTGTTTTTCAAGTTTCTAAGATAATGTAATTTTCAGAAATTTCTAAATAATCGCAAGAACTTATTCTATTTCAACTTTTATTCACTTTATTAACTTGATTAAAGCAAACTCACCAAGAATGTGTCATTAATTCTAAGTACAGTTAAAAACTACTTCTTCCACCGTCTAACTTCTTAACATTCTTAACCTGCATAGTTTTTTTTTTCAGTTTGGTACATACTTTAACCAACTTTACCGCAGGCCAACATATTGTGGTAGATTTTCAAGGCAGATATTATGCCCGCCAGTGACTGTTTACAAATATGACAAGTCAATGCCCGGCTCTCCCCGAGTAGACTCCAACCTTCCTCCAAGGATTAGTTTGAGACCCTGTGCAAGTTTGAAATTCCTAACCTATTTATTTTGTGGAGCGTTTATCAGTTGGATGTTAAATTATAGATTAGAAACTTACTTTGTACTTTTGTTTCTCTTGTTTGTACTTTATAAGGCATTGAAGTCCATTCCAAATGATGGCTGCCCCCTACGACATAGCTATCCCACACAAGGATTTGGAAATATTAGTTTTAATGAATCTAATTACTAAGAAATTTAGCTTAAGTTAAATGCATGTTTTACATTGTATTTTTTATTTTTTAATAAAGTATATTTTTTCGCGCAAGTGATACCCTCCTTCTGCAACTCCTATATAATAAAATAATGCTTTACTTTGAATGTCAAATTCTCACAAGGTGTTCCACAGAGAAATCCCTGACTTTGTTATGGGAACACAATAACTGAAAAAAAATTGAAAAATTGGTGGTAGTCATGGGAAAAAATTCCACTTGTTTCAGCCCGTGTTTAGCAGAATCATGGTGTGTTACCAAAAAGGTATCAGAATTTTTCAAAGTAGTTATAATTTTCTATCCTTTGTCGAGTTTCTATAATAACGGGATGTAAAGATATTGTCATTATCAACATAAAATTGTTTGGTAATTTGATATAATAAGATAAAACTTGTAGAAAATTACACTTATTACATGTAAAAATGTTCATCACTTCTATAAACATCATTCTATGCAGAAATAAAAATAACCATACAAAAAATCTACAGCAAATAAAAAGCACTCATTTCATCTCTTGTAGCGGTTGTTGGGCATTGTAATTTTTATTGGGCTTTTGAGATTACTCTTCTCTGAAAAATGGTTTCTAATACCTCGAAAGCCTGGTCGTGCCATTCTTTTTAATGAATGCTTCTTTGAAGAGTGTGATGATGATTCATCATCTGACTGGGAGCCAGATTCAGATTCAGAGCCACTCCCAACACTACTACTGCTACTGCTACTTCCCTCAGATTCTTGAGAATCTGATGAGGTTTCTTGATCATCACTATCACTGGTTTGTTTCACCCTGGACCATATTGTTGACGCCACAACTGGTTTCCTGGCTGATGGTTTTATGACAACTGACACTTTACTTTTTGGTTTTTGACTGTATCTGTCATAGGTGGAACTTCTATAATGTCTGCTCACCTTGCCATGTCTGGAATGCTCACTGCGCATTCTATCACTGTGCAAAGTTTTTCCCATATCTCCATGCCTACCTCTGCTCAACCTCTCTTTATGTCTATTGGAGTCATGTAATTTTTTAATAGTTTGCCTACGTTCCACCAAAAGGGTCCGTATATCAGGCTTTATTTCTGTAATGTTTTTAACAGGTGCCTCTCTGCCTACTGCAAAAACCAGTCTGCTGGTTCGATTTTTTAATTTTGAACCTAAGTCAATAGCTGATGCACCTTTTTCCACACTTACTTCCTTAAGTGGCACTTTTCGAGAGTTCCGTAGAACATTTCTCAAGTCTGTCTTTTCTATTTTATCAGCTTGCCTTTTGATTTTTTGAAGAATTTTTTTTCTTTTGATTTTCTCTTCTTCCTCATCAGCATACATTTTCATGCGTGGCATTTTATTTTTAAATTTGTCTACAGTCACATCTGAATCACCCTCATCATAGTCATTATCATTTGAATGACTGTTGCTATCTGAAAGCTTGCGTTTTGCTCCCAAACGAGCCAACAATTTTGGATTTTTCACTTCAATTTGAGGCTTAATGACATCTTCATGTAGAATTGGTGATCTCTCCCGGAACTTTGCATCTTTATCCCAGTTCCTAGCTAGCGACCCCCACGGGTTTTTATCTATTGAAAGTTCCTTGTTTCTTTCAAATATACTCCCAAGTTCTTTTTTCTGGTTATCTGATATGATGTTTTTCGAAACAGTTAATTTTTTATAGTACTTACTGAAACTTTCAGCTTCATATGCTTGTTTATCTGTTCTCAGGTTGAATCTGACAAGAATGCAACTTGCTTTAGGATGACTTTTCCCCAAACGCCAATAACCGGGGGGGATAGGTATAGTTATTTCGGATATATTCACAGAATATTTTGGAATTGTTGTTTTATGTAACTTTCCATCTTCATCTCTTAATTCAACTATGCGGTTCTTATTTTTTGACAAAATACTCTGACCTGTTGTTTGCACTTCACTCTGCTCCTCATCTAAAAACACATCTGAAAAAATATCAGATGGACCTCTGGCAGGCATCCCATTTACAGCTTTGGAATTAAAATACAGGGCTCTAGCTGCGGATACGTTGTCTAACCATACAACATTACAACTATCATTATCTATCCATTCAATTCCAGCTGGTGCATATTTTGCAAAATACTCTAGTATATCTTCAGCACTCATTTGACTTATTCCCAACAAATGAACAATGTTGAATTTAACTTCACCCTGATTATCAGCAGTAATTCCTAAGCTTCGATGAAGTTCTTCTAAATCTTCATCTGTAAAAGTGTGGATTTCATCAGGCTTCAAAGCAAATCTCCTGGCCCGTTCTTGAAGCTTTTCTTGTTCCCCTTTATCAAAAATGTTAATTCCAGTAGCGAAAATGCCCCTTGAGTCTTTCCAGTGCTATAAATAGTTTGTTGAAAATAATTAAGTAACAATTTAATAACCAAATTAAATACCATTCCCAAAACAGGGGAACTGGACTGTTGCATTTCCTTCATACCATTTTCTTCTTCATCCTCATTTATCTCACCCTCATTTTCACTGACTGGGCTATCAACATCCATTTTATTATCATTATTAATTTCAATCATGATATTTGGACGCATTTCTTCCGTATCTACACTCATGTTTTTAGTTTCTTTCCAATAAAATGCAAAGATATATCAAAAAACCAGTGAAAAACCATAGAAAACAAATATTACCATGGATAAGCGATTATAACTAATGCGGCATTGACATAGAACAGGAATAAAGAAAACACTTTTTTGTTCTGCCTTATTTGCCCCAAGTTTTTTTTCTCGATTTTTCAGCACACTTTAGTGCTTATTTTATCAATATTTAATTATACAAAAACCGATTCTTGAAGCCATAATTTAAGCTCTGAACGGTTGCTGTAAAAGTTTTCCCTGAGAGGCACCTAAGATCTCTCTCACTTTATACCTTTCGCATTAACATTTGGATTGGTAAATCCAATGTTCGCGGTGTAGAAAATTACTGCGAAACATGTTCAATTAATTCTGGAAGGGATTTTTTTGTTTTGCTTCTCTTGGGCAAGAGTACCAGGATAAATCGGTTACCTGATTAAGCCATTTCCTCTTTACGTTTTTGAAAAATTAGGTCACTTTATAACGATGATATTTGTGGTTTGAAAGCTATGACAATATCGACATTTAAAACTACAACTTTTTTGTTAGAGCACTCAGAGCGCTCTCCTAGTGACATCTAACTGCTTGTGCTGGCCAGCTACCCATACGCGGTCGTTAAAGGTTCTCATTTCCTATTTCTTCTTTTTAAAGCCCTTAGAATTTTTGTTTTTTTTTTTATTATTCTATGAGTTCTCATAATTCTGGGAACGAAACAAAATTAGGTGACAAACAAACTGAAATATTTAGAATCGGAAATTATTCGTGGAGATAATTATTAATAATAGAACCAATATTTAAAACGCTATATGTGCAAACACTTTTTACATTGCAAATTTGTCCACTGTAAATTATGAAAACAACTGTCAAAAAATAAATTTCTAGCTGACCAAAATTTCCTGTTTAGTTTTAGTTTTCCGGATTAACTTGATATATCATATTTGACACAGTACAAATTGAATATCAGTAACGAAGCATATTTCGAAAATATGGAAGATAATCTTTGAGCTTGGTTTTTCGTCTGTTTTTTTGAAATATTTACTTATATTGTGCAAAATTGTTGGTTATGAAATAGCCTCTATTAAAATGAACGAGGATATAGATCAGCAAAATGAACAGTCATCTTTTCAATCCAGTGACCCTCCAGTTAGACAGAGTGATTCCGGAAGGTACTGTTGGGTGTGTTTTGCCACCGAAGAAGAAGACAGAGAAGCATCTTGGGTACAGCCATGCAACTGTCGGGGTACTACAAAATGGGTAAACCTTTTCCTTAAATTTAACAAGTCTCTGGAGGGTACATTAGTGGGGTATCAATTTTCAGGTTCACCAGTCTTGTCTTCAGCGGTGGGTGGATGAAAAACAAAAAGGAGGAAATATGGGAAAGGTGACATGCCCGCAATGTCAGACAGAATACATAATAGTTTTCCCAAATATGGGAATGCTTGTACTTATCCTGGATACTGTTGATGGCATTATTTACAAAGGATGTCCATTTATGGCAGCAGGAATTGTTGTTGGGGCAGTCTATTGGTGTGCTGTTACTTATGGCGCAATTACTGTAATGCAGGTACATAGTTATGAAAGGAGTTTTAACCACATTTTCATGTGGAAGCAAATTTAATTTCAGTATTTCTCTTTTGTGTTTGCAATATGCACCTTTGTTGAATTATTCCCTTCTTAGGTTATAGGTCAAAAAGAAGGACTATCTGTTATGGAACAAGCTGATCCATTGATATTATTAGTAGGACTTCCAGCCATTCCAGTTGCTCTTTTATTGGGTAAAATGATCCGTTGGGAAGATGCTGTGTTGAACTTTATGAGGAGAAAGTTAAAGAAAGTGCCTATTATTAGATATGTTGTGCCATTTAGGTAATATAGGAAAATATATATGACAATGGTCGCCAACCTGGCGATCGCGAGGTACCAGTGGCTTGCGGAGGCAATTCTGGTAGCTCACACACCAATTTTAAAATATAAACTGCAAAAATCAGAGAAGCTTCAAAATTCCACAAAAAAATCTTACTGTCATAATATTAAACGTAAACAATTCCGCGGTTTATTCCAAAATTAACAAAGTAGCTCAACACATTGAAGAGGTTGGCGACCACTCATATATGGAAACAGGTTTAAATTACAATTGCTTTTTTTTAGCATTGATACAGCTTTGAATGCAGATGCTCAAGCAACAACGGAAAATGATCTTCCTCCATTATCTACTCCCATATCTGCTACAAGAGTTTTATGTGGAGCCCTTTTAATGCCGACTATAGCTAGTCTCTTTGGAAAGATATTTTTTGACTCAGTAAAGTCAAATTTTCACAAAACCATTTTAGGCGGATTGGCGTTTGTTGCACTAAAAGGGTGTCTGAAAATATATCATAAACAACAACAGTATATAAGGCAATGTCAACGTAAAATTTTAGACTATACAGAATCAAATATTTCTGCGTATATACATAACAGAGAAAGCGAATAATTTCAACTAATTATAACATTGCTGATATATATACATATTTTGTTAAATGTTGCGATATTTTTTGTGTTAAATTTTTTAGTATTAGGTCAAATCAATTAATTTTTTGAAGAAATTTTTACTGTTTTAAATAAATTGTCAACTTCAGTGGTATCCTCATTATAACAGTTCATAATATTTCAATTCATTTACGTTTATGAAAACTATTTATTTTTGCTAGTCAGATACAGTTCTAATAAAATCACAGATTACTTCTCACGTTTATTTTTAAAAAAGTTAATTTCTCTATTCAACAAAAATAGAACAAAGTTGTGATCTATGTTAACACTTAAGAGATGGATAACTGATTTTTTTTTTAAATGTCAATGGGTTTGAAACTAGAAGACAAATTTAAGTGTTGCAACTAAGGCAAAAGTTTAAAAAAGTACTCACAGGTAAAGACAACAAAAAGAAATATTTAAAAAATTTGGCAAAAAAAATTATATTTTGACATCTCTGTCAATTGGTGGACCAGTGTAAGGGCAAGAGTCCGTCCAATACCAGCTTGGAGATCTTATTTCCTTCAATCGAAAAATGCCGGGTGTTACCTGACTGAGCTTGGTGAAATAGGAACATTGTCTTTGGGTGTTATTGACAATTGGGGAATCATAGGGTGGGGCAAGTATATCCAAAAAAGCTGCTGGTCCTTCCAAACTTTGTATTTCATGTAAATTCTTATGATGTGGTTCCAGAACACATGGTGCACTTTTTGTGCTAGCTATCGACACCGAAACTAATTCGGCTGTCAAAATATTGCTTCTGCTTAAGGGTCGAATCGGAGTGGAGCCATCACCAAAGCTTCTTAGGTCAACTTCTTTAGTTTTTTCTGTATTTATTGAATAACTTGTAATTTTAACTTTTCCTGCAATTACCTTAATAAGGCCATGCATATCAGGGTGATTATGAAGAGGCAATTTTCCATCTGGTTTTAGAATGAATATACCCATGGAAACATTTTCATCTTCATAAATCTCTATACAGGTAACAGGTGCTTTGCCTGGCTGATTCCATAACTGATCAGTCATGAATTGTGGCAACAAATTAACATGTTCGACGTTAATTTTATCCAAAAGCGTTAAAAGAATCTGTAAATTTGCACAGAAAGCATCATTTTTACTTGTAAAGGTTGTTATGGCTTGTTTCAATACTGTTAGCAAGTGGTTTGTCATAATGAATTGCTTTAAATGCTACTATTTCTACTAACTACTGTGAAGAAGGAACGAAGGCGACAACTAGATCTTAGATACATAATATCACGCCTTTACAAATATTCCCAAATAACTCCTGAATAAATGACAAACTACATTGGCAAGTAAGAGGTTAACTACCATGAATAATAGAGATTGGTAAGTCTCAACCACTCGCCCTTTACACACCAAAGAAAATGGTTAAATTGATTTCCGCTAGTGACGTCACACATCCCATATGAAATAAGTTTTATGCATTATGTAATATTGTGTGGGAGGATAAAAGTTTAATAAGGTTTAATTATTTAGATGCAATAAATTCTAAATTAAAATAAAATATTTCAGGTGTGTGTAAGTAAGCTTAACTAAGTGCACCAACCAATGACAACACAGCCACTCAAGTTATATTCAATAAGCGAAAAAAAATGTTACCGAACGCAAAGAAACTATGAAGTTTGCGATATTTTTTATTGTAAATATAATACATATTACACTAAATCGCAATAATATTTCCATAAATTTAATGGAATGAACACGAAAATTATAAAGTAGTTGTCTCCGGTTTTACCTTGCCGGAACATTAATTTCCGGCGTTTATTTGTTGAACATCAATTTGACGTCCGTTTTAAATTATTATAGTGACTTTAACAAACTTAACTATAATTAAGTTGGTTTTCCAAAATAAGACATAACAACATAATAACCAGAACTAACCAAATACTTGCTTATTTCTACACAATTAAAATACAGAGAGTCAATAATAACATTGGACTCCAGTCAAACATTTAACTTGTTCCCAAAGTAACTATCATCTGCCTTTTTTCACCCCACAAAATTTCTCTGGTAGAACTACTGTTGTTTATCTATGCAGTTGAAATAAATTACGAATTACGTTTTTATTGAAGAATAATTTCATTTTCTATTATCTATGTAAGTTACATGTACCTTTATCTATAGATAAATAATTATCTCAATCATCTATGATAATCTGTGATGATAATATATAGTGTAATATCCATGACTGTATGTAGTGTCAACCCCAGGTAATTTAGAAAATGCTTGTTGGCAATTGTTGTGAGTTTGAGATAAAGGTTTCTAGAAACTGAAACGTGCCCAACTTTCGACGATGAGAATAAAATATGTTTTAATAGTGTACATAAGTATATTGTACATTATTCCAATAGTCCATGGAGTGGGACAAATAATTTATGCAATAAATGCAGGAGGGGAAGCTCATGTTGATTCCCATGGAGTAAAGTATGAAAGAGACCCTTTACATGGTCATGTTGGTGTAGCTTCTGATTATGGAAAACGATTACTTATTGGAAGAGTGCCCCCACATGATCATATTCTTTATCAAACTGAAAGATATCATACAGCTACATTTGGATATGATCTCCCCATCAACGAAGATGGTGATTACGTTTTAGTATTAAAATTCTGTGAGGTATATTTCAATGCCCCTGATCAGAAGGTATTTGACATTGTACTTAATGGTGAACATACGGTGGTAGCTGATTTAGATATATTTGCTAAAGTAAATAAGGGTATTGCTCATGATGAATATGTCCCTTTTAAAGTTTCAAAAGGTAAGTGAGGATAGAGTAAATACTACTGGCTATTAGAATTGCAAAGATATTTTAGGTAGGCTAATAGTTAACAGAGAAGAATCAGATATTATTAGGGGCAAAATTCGAGTTGAATTTATAAAAGGTTATAAGGACAATCCCAAAATAAATGCTCTCTATATGATCAAAGGCAATGTAGAAGATGTACCAAAGCTGCCTCCCCTCAATGAAGAACCTCTGGAGTCATTTGAATCAAAAGTGGAGAAAGAACCTGAGATTGCCCCTAAGGCTCGAATTAGAACAACTGCTCAAAAGATTCTCGATCTTTATGAAGAAGAAGAATCCTCCATAATGTTGCCAGTTTTTATTGTAATTGGGGCCTTCATTCCTGTTCTATTTTGTTTGTGTAAATTGTGATAATATCTTTATTAGGTATTTAATAAATTTTGTTGAATATTTTTGCATTGTTAATTACAATATAATTTTCATTCTCTTTATAATGAGCCTAGAAAGAACATTTCCGTAAATTCTATATTCTGGTTGCTGCTTTCCTACGTAGAAATCATAATTACTACATAATATTCAAAAAAGGGAACATACTAACAAAAAAGTTGTGATTAACGCCCTCTACATATTGTGTGGAAAAATAGAATGCAATCATAAAACTCCCAAATCAGAGTTTCTGTTTTAATATCTAAAAAAAACATACCTTGAGCCACAAACAAATAACGTCCACAACAGTAAGCTTTAACACGCTGTATCTCCTAATAAGCACCATTTGGCAAATTGTACTCCAATTTCACAGTTGTAACGAAGACGAAATAACAGAGCGGCAGAGTAAATAGACAACATTTTTATAAATATTTATTTTACACAAATAAAGAAATACATTGAGACTACAGACGTAACATACTTTTAACAGTATATAATTGTAACAAGTATACACAAAAATTTTAGGCCTTTAAACAACAATTGTTCATACCAATGAACCGTTTGTGTCTCTAAAAAACATCTCCGTCATCTTTAATAGTACTTTTACTATTTTTATTTTTATAAAAATAGTTTTTTCTGATGTGGAGCTACAATCACATATTTGTTCACTATGGGTTTTAAAATCTGAAAATACTTAATTTATTTATTTGACATATATATCAAAAAGATACTTTTAAGTCATATCTCACATGCAACTATACTCTCAATATTACATTATTTGCCTTTAATTTGGTACATATTTAAGTATATTTAACGAACCAGCGGATATAAAAAGTAGGAAAAAGTATCACACAAAAAGACCTTTGACTAAAACTTTTATTTTTGCGTACTAACACTTAGAACGTAACCATGCACTATTTAATATTTTAATATTCCGCCGCATCAAAGGTCTTTGATGTATGAAATTTGTTTTTAGAATTTCAAATGCAAAAACCTGTATTTATATCTAAATGAGTCCGCACCACCCACATTTTGATCGGCAAGGACTCAACATAATTTAGTTGATTTTAAGAAATTTTTATAGGGTGCTTCGTAAAATATCATTAGGGCAAACCATAAGAAAATTTAAACTATCGGAATCAACTTTAAGTTTTGTCGGAATACGAAAGAGAAATGAATAAAAATACTTTGCCTGAATCTTATTGCAAGCAATTATAATTTTCTTTCGTTAAGTTCTTTATATCAAGACAATATCAATATCGTGATAATTTCGATGAAACATGACATTTTAGTTGAACGACAGATACGATAGAACTAGAGCTAGCTGAATAAATATATGCGACACAGACAACGAATCGAAAAATTGTAGGGTTTATAACACGAAAGTCAATCGACTTAAAAAACATCGACACACAGATAAACTCCAAAAGAGATTAAAGAGAATTTTCACTACATAACATTTTTTGATACCGTACATGCTAAAATATTAATTTATAGTGAAGGATCACAGCTAGATATTGAAATATTTAAAATACTCATCGATAATTCACAGTGAGGTTGCTATGTCTGAATATTTAATATTTATACACACATTTCCGATATTAAGTAAATATTGTTAAACAAAATTTATAATTTAATTAAGATTGTGTTAATTGGGCAATTTTTATTTCATAGGCAAAATAGGCATTAGAAGAGGGAGAAATTTATTGACTGCAAATATATCCATTTTGAATAATTTATATAAACAGTAGTTGGATATATGTAATAATTGAACCAGTCAAGGCTTAATCAATTTGCTGATTTCTTAATTTTACACATCTTGCTCGGAACAAAAAAAAAATTAAAAGGCGATTTATATGACCCACTATTTAAAAATGTATCATCATCTTTAAAATTAATGCTTTTACACAGAGAAACTTTGTTATATTTTAAATTTTGCCCGCCTCAATAGCGGTTGCGGTTAGATAAAGAAAATATACCATGTCGATTTTAATTTATTTTATTTAATTAAATGACAGTTGTTCTGTTATTTTTCAACGTTCCCAATTCATTTAAGGAATTTATCCACAGCTATTTGTACTAAGTCCGTTTACATTTCACAATTTGAGCATGGTAACAGCCAATTAAATTAAACAGAAGAAACACGATCTACAAAAAAATATCGGAAATGTCGGGCATTAATGATTTGGAAGCCTTTCAAAAGTATCTTATCAGAAATGGAATTTTCAGGCTTTTAGTCCATAGTGTACTTTCTTATAATTACTACCTAACAACAAAAAACAGTATCTTCTGTAAAGTCCTGTGAATAAAACAGTTATACTGGTCATCACTTTTTATATAAGTTTATCTAATGAGCAAAATAAAGTTTGTTGAAATTTATTAATTTTGCAAAATCTTCACTTAGAAAAAAAACAATATTTTTCTATGCACTATCTCTAGTCGCGATTAATGTTTTCATATCTATTTTAACGTTCAATATGAAAAATTAATATTTCTACAATTTTAATGCAATTATTGAATTTTAATAATTTTTGATATTGCTTGTATTAAAAATGATAAAATATCATCAGTCGCCAACAGAAAACGTTTATTTTTTAATGATTGCATTTCTTCGTGATTCTTTTTAACTAACCAATATGCAACCTGTGATTTGCGCTCTAAAAATTCTGGAATTCTGGCTAATTTAGGATCTATTTATTATAGTTATTATATTAAATTTTTAAATGTTCCAAAATATCCCTAATGTTCTGTTCAAAAATTGGTTTTATTTTTTGAAGTTTACATACATATTTTTTTATTTTAACTTTTTATGTCCCCCAAGATAAAAATAACTTAAGGCGTTTCGTTCTTATGCTAGTCCTTTGGATAACATATATTTTGATTCTTTTCAATCCTTCATTTTATAGCCTGTAAAAAGGTGCCGATATTATACGTATTATTAAAAATTAAAATTATTAAAAACTAACCGTATTCAATTGCGCACCTACCCCCAAGTCGATGTCAAGGATGCTAGACTGAACAAATTTTGCATTCAAGAAACTACTGCAATTTTTAAACAAAATCAAATTTGAAACATCTAAATATGGGTAGTTAATTGGCAACGCTAGTTTTGGAAAGATAAAATCTATTATGTGTTAGATAAGTGCTCAAAATATTGTTTTTTTTCCTTTTAAAGTAACTAATCAAAAGATCAACTATGAATATTAATTAGGACAGCCCAGTACCTTGGTAGTCACTTCTAAAGTTCTCACTATTTATCTGGAACAATAAGAGTTATATTTCGTTTTCTATACCTCTTTAGAATTAAAAAACATATTTATTACAATTCATTCCTATTGGTTGAACGCGCGATTTAAAATGACAGATCTTATGTGAGTTGAAATGACTCACATACTGAAGGGACCTTCTCACTGAACATTTTTTGATGTTTGCTCAATAGTGCTTAATTTTCATCAAAAATATATTAAAATAAATTGAAGAGTTGGGGATTCAAATATCTTAGTTTTTTCTTTCTTAAAAGGTATTAAAAAATGTACTTTTCTTTAACTCTGTGTATAATATATAACTCATATCATTAAACATCTTACAATTAATGATTTTAATAAGTACTCTACAGTGATACTGTACTTGACACAACCATATTTTCCAAATAAAACTTTTTGGTTCAACATTATCTTTTTCAAACAAGTTTTATTTTTTTGGAAGTAAAACTATAGATAATAAAAATACTAATTAATACATATTTGTACAAAATTATTCTACAAAATTTACAATTAAATTGACATGATAAAAACTACAACAGACAATAACTTTGTTCGACCACTTTACAGGACTGATGAAGTTGGTAGTTCAGAAGTGTCGCTAAATTAATATTCTTTGCACTGCTGTTCATCAAAATTTTCGGCTCAGCGCAAACATGGAATAAATTAAATTCGTTTTGACATTTGCATGACATTCACATGATAAATAAATAAAACTTATTAGTTTTTACGAATATATAAACAATATTGTTCTAGGAATCTTTATTTTGATTTTCTGATGTGCAGTGAAATGTAACTTTACTTTTACTCACATTCGTTTATGATAATTCTTGAAGATACTTGAAATTTATTTTGAAACTTACATAGCGACACTCCTGTTAAAATCGAAAATAAATGGTGCCATAGAATTAGTGTAAAATATTAACCAAATAGCTTATTTTACCATCCAGTATATAGTAGCCCAAAAGAAAAGTAAATAAAATGATTTTTTTAAAAGAAAATATCAATGATTTAAACCTTAAAAGTTAATTGAAATTAATAAAAACAAGAAAAAGGTTAAAAATAAAAAATATCTTAGAAGGAACTGAAACAAAATCACTTTTGTTTTATGTTTATTTATTTCAAAGGAACAAAGTTTTTTTGATATCCAATACCATCTTTGTGGCGGTCTGTTTAGCGTTTTCAAATTAAAAATTAAGCTAACTGGAGCTATGTGCTGGTATTTATTTTACATTAATTTTGGAACACACTAACCAATCTGTGCTCTGACTTCAACTATAAGTAAATAATAATTTAAATACAATTATCAAATATGTGAAACTGAAAAATTATGTTCATAATCTAAACCCTTATTCAAATGACTATGATGTTGATGTTATCTTGTACTGTCTTTGTTTAAATAATAGTGTTTCCTCAAATATCAATTTTTTCAGGTGATCCTTTGGTAAATCATCCAATTCCGTGTCAAATCTGAATGGAGTTTCAGCAACAGGCTAGAAAAAATAAATAACTCAACAATCAGATCGTTGAGTTAACATCCAACTCCACAAGTGATTGAAACGTGTTTATATGCAAGTTTAAATTAATATTTTCAGTGATTTATTTATGCCAGGAAGTCGGATATATGTAACATTTTATTTAGCTGCCGTTTTGATTTCGAAAACAGTTCTGATTGGGATGACATTACATTTAAGTAAATAAGCAAACTGCACTTTGGTATCTCATGTCATAAATGCCACTTTGATAATTTTCGCAAAGTAACGAGAGAGATCTCGGCAATACACTATATTAAGGATGATATAGCATGTTGGATGATATAGCAGTTGGGCAGTTGTCAACATTGGGAATTAAAAAGAAAACAATTCGCCATATGAGTTTTTGCGAGTACCATTATTATCAAAAATATATGAAAGAATTAAAACTATTAAGTTATTCACTTTTTAAATACACTTACTCACAATCACAATCTTTATACTTTTGTGAAACCAGGTCTCTTCGAATAGGAGCGATTTGTTCTATTTCTTTGCATTTAACAAACAAAAGTTGAAACATATATTATATAGTGGGAAATTATGTACATTTATGTTTTGCTGATATGGTTTTGATTCATTGAATCACTTTTATTTTGGTTACACCCTTACGCTAAATTCGGCAAACACTTAAGTAGACCATACTTTTTAATAAGAATTTCAGGGCACTTACTTCATCGGCAGGATCATAATACTGTTCTAAATAGGGGTGGGCCAATGCCTCCTCTACCACTATTCGCTTGTGAGGATTGAAGGTCAACATTTTGTCTAGAAGATCAAGTGCTTTTGGATCTGCATGCGGATACAATTTTGTCCATGGAACTTTGGGTTTAAATGGAAGAGATTGTAAATAACTTCGTGCCTAAAAAAATAAATTATAAGTTTTGTTTCAAGTAAGCTATAGTAATTAAAAATACAGTAATATCATCAAATTGATTGAATTAAATGAACTATTTACTTAATGACTGTTACCTTTTCATTTATAATGCAATCTAAATCTTCTTGTGATGGCGATCCAAGCACTCCCAAGATATGATTTAACTGATCAAGGTAGTGCTTTCCAGGAAAGATTGGCCTGTTGGCTAGCATTTCTGCCAGAATACAACCGACTGACCATATGTCAATAGATTTTGTATATCCCTAAATTAAACAAATGGAATCTCTTTTGGCCAGCATTTTACATACTAAGCTTAAATGTCTAAGACTATTTGTAGTGACAATAGTTATTACAGTATTGAGTATAAGTATATTGAGTCTGCTCCTTGACAAAGGTAACCTTTATAGAGAGAAAGTCATTAAAAAATTACAGGTATGCTTGAAAGCTTTATTTGGTTCAGACTATAGTAAACAGTAAAACACTGTTTTTGTCTTGGAAACTTTAACATTTATACTGACAAAACAAAATAAAAAAAAAACAAGGTAATCCATAGACTATAGAGTTGATTTTTTTAAAAAATTAGTTATCTGCAAATTAAAGAGTGATAAAAGTTAAATACCTTAGAATTAAGCATAATTTCAGGTGCTCTGTACCAGCGAGTTGCTACATACTCAGTTAGAAAACCAGTATGATCATGATCTGGATCTGCAACTCTAGCCAATCCAAAGTCACATATCTAAAACAACATATTTTTTAAGAAAAACTTTCTGAATAATTTAAATGTTAATTTGCCTTAAGGTCGCAAGTGGTGTTAAGTAAAAGGTTGCTCGGTTTCAAGTCCCTATGAAGCACATTTGCAGAATGTATGTATTTCAAACCTCGCAGTATTTGGTACAAGAAGTAGCATATATGATCATTGCTCAGTCTCTGAAAAATAATCAATTATTTGGGGTTTATCGTGTAAAAATCTAATTACCTGAGTTTTCAAAAGTTTATAGAGATCAGTCTCCATCAAACATTGCACAATATACACATCTTTCATTTGATCTATGGTAGGTGCTCTGAGTATATCCCTAATATCAATTATCTGAAAAACATGAACTAGTAATACTCTTCTTTACTAATAATTTTTGTTATTGCATACATTTTCATGCTTAAACCTTGTTAGGATTTTAATTTCCCGCAGTGTCCTCTGGCAATATGTCTGATGTTCAAAAGGAGAAATCTTCTTAATTGCTACTTTTGTTTTTGTTTCAGTATCTAGAGCTGATCTGCATTAACATAAAAACATATTGGTAGTAACTATTAAAATGATGTATGATGTATTTATATCCTTTAATCATATATATTAAGTTTTTTTAAAGAGATACTAATACCCAATTTCATTAAAAACTTTATTTCAAAAGGAATGACTAAAACAACTCTGGTGTATTTAAAACTTTTTTAAATTTTTAATTTAACAATATAAAAATTGTCCAAAAAATTCCGAACCAAGTTACAAAGTACCTAATCTTTTCTTAGACCTTATCTGTATGTGTGTCAAAAATATCAATATTAACATTATCAACATGATAACACTTAGATAAGTACAAAAATGTCCTGACAAAAACTGGTCATAAATTAAAAACATTCCAACACTCAAAAAATAAATAAGTGACTAAAGATTAAGTCAATACTCCATAAGATTTAAGAATTTTAAAAAGACTGTATTAAAACAAATAATAATGAAAAATTGATCATAAATTTTTTTATTTATTTATTTTAAATTTAAAAATGAATGTAAATGAAACCTTCATTTAACCTTTGGAAGTTAGGGTGACGTTTAGATTTATGAAATTTTCAAAGCACCAAGGCTAATGAGTTACCACTTTCAAGAAAATTTTGGTTCTTTTTTTAACTACATAACGATCTATTCGGTACAGAAACAAACCCCCCCTTATCGTCAACATAACCTCAAGGAAAACACCCACAATTTTAACTGATATGTCTTAACCATTAATCTTGGAATCAAACACTGTTGTTTTAATACTTTCAGTCATTAGAGTGTCGAAATTAATTATTCCTTGTCTTTGGGCGTGACAACTATTACTTATCATAATTGTAAGTGAAATACTTACACCACCATTCCATAGGCACCCTCCCCGATGTAAGCAAGATTCGTATAACGGGGCCCCACCTCAAAGACCTGTCCTCTAACCACCTCCGCATTTGGATTTAAACTTGATACACCTGTAGCTTCCGCCATTTCTTGGACCGGCACCCCGCACAGAACCGACCAAGACGATAAATTTGCGGACACTGAAAATCACAGCTGAGTAGTATCAAGAGGCGAGAAAGATCATCCAAAATCGATTTGGTTTACCGCGTTTACAGCGGTTAAATAAAATTTCAAAAACACGAAATACAAGTTTAGAAGTTTATTTGGCGAACGGAAGGAATTATGGGCATTGCGTAAAAATTTTATAAAAAATTGTTTAGGAGTATTCCTTCAAACATGAAATTTGCCGCAACGGGAGTAGCGACATCTAGAACACATCTATGTTCATCTGTGGAAAACTGTAATTGAGTAATTTTAGTATTGTTCATAGGAAGCTCCGGTAGATGTCGCTAGAAAAATCACAATATCGCGCTCGTTGCGACATATTGTATAAAGATACTTGCTAATAACCTGATACGATTTTTCAATGTTGATGTTTGTGAAAACTGTTTTTCTTTCTAAATCCTACAGAGACTTTCTCGTTATAAACTTTTCGATTTCTGAAAACAAAAACAAAATGCCCAAAAAATTGTATATAAAAATTTTGAAAATTATGCGACACACACCCAGTAATAACAGCAATAGAACTTGTCCTTTAAAGATGCCGATATGTAACATATATAAATTCCTTCTTCCAAATATTTTGTATCTGTGTTTCTAAAAATCCGTTAATAACTAAGGAAAATATGTCAATCTCGCCGTCTTAAAAAGTTTGTTTTTAACATGCCAATACCTACGTATTCAACACTATTATCTTTTATGGCTTTTTCACGAAATTAATTATTATGTATCATACAGGGGCTGTTAAAATATGCGAATGCACCACTAGATATAAACAAACTGCATAAATAAAAATAAATGCAATTTTCTATAAGAATAATGGTAATGATAATGACGGTGACAAATTTTTCTATGAGTTTTCACGTCGACATATTTTTCACGCGTCATTTTCGTTTGCCATTATCGGGAATCACTTCGAATTTTTTCGGTAGATTTTATTGCTATAATGATATTTTTATTTTAAACGTGTACCAGTTCAGATAGATAGACACGTTAGAAGTACTTTTTAATCAATACACTTTCAATGAACCTAAACACTGCAGTTAATAAAACACTTTACCAAAAGATAAAGATGATAAATAGTTTCTTGGAAACCATAAAGCAATAGCGGTTCGTAAATAAGAAAAAAGTAACAATTTCGCATGGTGAAAAATATTTTAAGTCCGGTTTACACTTATGAAGTACGGAATTTTTTCACTTTACCACGTCAGTTTCGTTTCTCATGAATCTGAATCACTTCGGACATTTCCTGGATTTTACCGCAAGGATTAGGGAGCAATCGGATGTTTTCGGAGATATTTGTCAATTCTGACGGTCATGTCAGTGAATGTATTCGCGTTGTTTTGCGAAAATGTAGCCAAAAACTAAGGGTCGTAGAAAAAGTATAGTATGCAACACGTTCGGTAAACTTTTTAACTCACTCGTTTACCGCCGTTTATCGCACTTGTTGCATAATATACTATTTTACCACAATCACAAATTTTTATAACCAAAAATGTTAGCGACAATTTTAACGGTGATTGTTTTTGGAACACCATTATTTATTTTCGAGCGAAATGTTCCTATTTCACCATATATTTATTAGATTATATAGTGGCCCTACTAAGGGCCACAGAGAAGCTAATGATTTTCCGCGCATGCCTCTACTTTTGACTATCCCGCACTTTGCGCCATTTTCTTTCAAAATAGTGATCTCCACACTCGTTTTCCCAAAATCATCTAATGGGTACTAGGCATATTTGCCCTACTAAGGCCGCGTCCAAATTTATTGACCATCTATCAGTGGCCATGTTGATTGCTGAATACCGCCATGTCATTGGTTAAAAACGAGATTTTAAATCTTGCGCATGCGCATGTTGAATGGACCTTCTCAATCTTTTTATAGTTGCTTCATAAGATCCTGTATTATAGCATAGACAGGGCCTCTGTACTATAGTAGCTACATGTATTTCATCTAAATGATTGTTCGAAAAGTTTAAGATTAAGTTGCCTCCGATTTGGGTAAAATTCTAGATATCTACAGTATACTTCAAGTGCACTAAAATTTGCTTGATAAAAAACACAAATCATATCACTATGCGAAAAATGATTATGCCGCGGCATTTTGTTATTAACAGCTAATACGTTTGCAGTAGCAGTAATTTGAGTGCACAATTTGATTTGAAGTTTTTTTTATTACCATTACCAAAGTTGTTATTATTAAATATTGGTTTTTATTGATCCCTTTTCATCTTTTAAGTATTTACAAATAAAAAAAAACAGAAAAAGCACCTGGTACTTTTTCAAAAATACTAAGATAATTTTATAATTAGTAGTTCAAGTCTGCAGTTACTCGTTATCATTTTATGCGAAATTAAAATTAAAAATAAGCTACTTCCAATTTGAAACACTGATTTTGATCTGATATTAAATTTTGTGGTTGTTTGTATTGAATACTTACGTTTCCTCCAAGTCATGTGTTTATTACATGAATAGACAGATACAAGGCACAATTGGAATATGGTGTGGACAAGACGAATGCATTCCGAAGAAACCCATTTTGTATACTACAACTTAGTTTTAATTTATAAAATTTGCATTCATTTCAATAGGATGGAAATTCCAAAATCAAAGAATTTTTTTTCCTAAAATATTTCTTAGTCCACTTATGATCATATCATATTGGTAGCTGTAGAATATTATGCATCTAAATATGCAACTTTTAACAATCCTATTAAAAAAGTGACCACTAGTATACCCTGTACTGTGTGTTTCATTATTGATGTTTTTGCGATGTACCGCCTACATTAATAAAGCTAGCTTGTCGCGACGGCACAAACAGAAATGTTATAGCTATCTTGGATTTTGGAAATGTTGACTAAACTATACTATAATTTTATTAGGCTTGTTGTTAGCTTTTCAAAAATATATAACACATAGGTACTAATTCAAATACAAAGCAAAAATTTTTAATTTTTTATGCCTAAAAAGTATAGATTGCTTTTTATATAAATTACATCAATTTCTCATAATAGCAGATGGGCGAGGACGCAGAAGTTAAAATAATAATTACCAACTGTCACGGATCTTTGATAACTAAAGTATATTATTAAAATGGGCAAGCTTTTTTTCATGCCATAATCATAAAAAAATATATGCTTTGTATTTTAAATACCTGTGTTACATAATAAGCCCAATAAAATTATTAAAAGACTGATGTTTCATTAGAAAAAAAACAACAAAACAAAACCATAACCGAGCTACAGTGTCTAAAAACACAGAATTTTCAAAATCACCCTGTATCTAAAAATTAATTTTTCATTCATTCAATTTTTATTTACTTTTTATTTAATAAAAAGCAGCAGGGCCACGAAAGCAGCAACACGTTAATTTTATTAATAAGGGAGATAAGAGGTAAAATAATAAAAAATGGAACACACCGTTTCTTCAGTAATGTTAATGTTCTGCAGCGTGGAAAATTTGAAACTCGTTCACTTATAGAACACACAATTGGTTAGTTTTGGTTTGTTACTTATATCAGGTTAACGAAGCTAAGGTGACATTTTGGGCACCCCGGTTTGAATTTTACAGTAGGGAGCAGAAATCCTCTATTAAAACATATAAACTTGAAAATCTGGTAATAAATTTGATATTTTTTTCTATATTCAAAATATATTTAAATGTCATTTGTCTATTGAGAAAACCGTTAAATAATGTTTAAAGATAAGTGAGACAAAACACAAAAGTTTCAATAATATGGGTAGTCACTTGTTCAGTGAGATTGTGTGTTACTTTTAAACATTAGCGAATTTAGGGATATAATTCCCTGAAGCTACCATAATTAAATTATTAGAGGTGGACTTACAAATAATTTTAGAAAAATTATAATTTTCAGAAGTGATTCCGCAACTAGATACTATCTAAAAATCCCTAGGAAGACCAGTTTTCACCAACCGAGCTGCTAAGAGTGTCTAAAAGTGCAACATTTCCAAAATCATGAATCTAAAAATCCAAGATAGTGATGACATTTCTGTTTACGGCACTTTTTATTGAATAAAAAAGCAGCCTTGGACCGCAACCAGCTAACTTTATTAACACTATACCGGCCGTTTAGAAATCCTAATTACGTACGGCGCTTGCCGAAACATTGTCCTGATACCTAACTACCGAATACCGTCAATGCTCAGTGATGTTGTTATAGCTGAGAGCCGGCATATTTTATTTTAAAGTAGGATATAATATTAGGGCTATTTGATTTCAATTGAAAAAACCGGTTTTATTTTTTCGATGGGGGGCAGGGGGGCGAAGTCGGGGGGGCTATCTCGGAAACGGTACGACCTGGGGGGTCGGGGTTCTCGCCATCGAATTCAGAAAAAAATCTCGAGGAGGAAGCGACCTCAAAAAATCGCTTTTGAGGAGGTAGCCCTTTTTCGGTTTTTCGAGGTTTTCGGAGTTATTTGAGGTCGGATCGGGGCGCGGACGGTATATTCGCGTAGAGGGGCCCGAGGCGCACCGGAACCCTCAAAAAGGACGCCCCTCAAAATTGAGGAGGTATTGAGGTTAGGGAGGGTCTCGTCTCCTATGGGACGGATCGAAAATTCGAGTACCTACGTCGACGCGCCTATACCCGGGCGTCGTTCTGAAGGCCCATGTCCTATACCCGTCTGTGGAGTTTTTTTTGAGGGCGCCTCCTCAAAGTTCAAAAAGTTTGCTATCTCCGAGGTTTACCGGCCGAATCGCTTCGAAACCGGCACGGGGGGGTTTCTCGGGTCGGAAACGCCGGATCCGCCCTCAAAAATCTCCTACCTCAAAAACTCAAAAATATGACCTTTTTCAATGTTGTCGTTGAACGCGTCGATTAAGGTCGCGTTAGGTCCGGCCGGGTTCGGATCGATACGGGAGGTGGTCGAAGGAACGGCCTTTCTTACGATACCCTCCTCCCCGATCTCCTCCCAAACGGGGGGCGACAAGGGGGGATCAAAAAAAAGGACCGCGTTTTTCA